CCGTGCTCATGACCCTTCCCCGCTTAGGCACCGCTGAGTGGCTTAGTACCCTGCATGCCATTTCTGAATGTTCTGGTTGGGGTTTTTCTTTCTCAAGTACTGGTCCTTTGTCAGGTTTATGAACTGCATCACCTTTTGTGTTCAGGTAGAGACTGTTTTGCTTAGAGAGAAGCTGTCTGTTCACTTCAGGAACATTCCCACCTTACGAGAGCATTAGGTTTCTGGAGGGGAGAAGGCAATGGCACCCCACTCCAGGACTCTTGGCTGGAAAATCCCATGGACGGAGGAGCCTGGTAGGCTGCAGTCCATGGGGTCACTACGAGTCGGACACGACTGAGCGACTTCACTTTCACTTTTCACTCTCATGCATTGGAGAAGGAAATGGCAACCCACTCCAGTGTTCCTGCCTGGAGAATCCCAGGGCCGTCTGTGGGGTCGCACAGAGTCGGACACGACTGAAGCGACTTAGCAGCGGCAGCGGCAGCAGCAGGTTTCTGGAGGAGAGGGGAAAAGAAGCCAACCTAGGTACGATGAATAGGAGAAATACGGCCAAAGCGTCTTTGAAAAACAAAGGAGCTTCTTGAAATTGACTCACATTGCTTTTAAGATTTTTGCCTGTTGGTGCATACTGAGGTTGTCATCATCTCCTAAGAAGCATCTTGCTTACTTCATCATACCTGACTGCTTTGTTTGTTTTTATTGTCAGTGTAGCAGCAGGCTGTGTATATGCTCTGTTATTGATCGGTTGTCACTGAATTGTTTCAGAAGTGATGATGATTTATTTTATTGAGTGATATCCAATAACATAGAACATGGACCCAGGGTTGCAGAGGGCTAGGGAGATAATGAAAAAAGGGAGGACAATGTAGGAAATATTTTTTTTTTCCTGCTGTATAGGGATGGCTTTGAGTAACCTGAGCCTCTAAAGCCATTTGTTAGTTTCCGATTATGTAATATTTACTGCTTCCTGAACTTAAATTATATCCCACCCCAGGCAAATATAGTTGAAATGAAAAGATAGTTTGAGGACAGACATCTGTATTAAATTTCCTAAGTGATTTTTCTACTGTCATCAGCCACTTAATCTTGATGTTTGACGTTTGGGGAACATCTGACTTCATTCTGTTTCTAATCTTTCTCTGTAAAAGAGGGAGGACGGGAGTCAGTGTGTAGTTCCCCCATTCTCTCTCTGGAATAATCCTTCATTATAAAAGCACAGTAGTAGAAGTCCTGCTTTAAATGCAGAGGTGTTATTCATTTGGGTTGACTCTCCAATTTCTAATTGTATAGAACCCTCTCCTTCAACCACTCAGGGATCCCTTTATTTTATTTACTCAGAAGAAAATTCTTAGTTTCTACTGAAAGTGTGTATTTGTAAACTTCCAAATTCCCAATCACTATTTATTCTAATATAATTCCAAGCTACCCACTGGTGATATTTGATAAATAGCTTTATTAGGTTTGATCCACTGTTCCTTTTTTTTAGTTCTTCAAACAAAGAGTAGAAATCTATGTATGTCAACTTAAGTCATGAAATATGCTTGGTTTGAACTGTAAGCAGTCATCAAGTTCCTGCAGTATATAAAAGCATCGAAGCAGGTTGTTTCTTAAATAATTAATGATGAGAATAAGGATACAATATAAATTCTGTATAATGTGAATTTCCCCGGGCCTCTCTCGCCTGTGACGGCAGAAGAGTTCACATCAGCAACCACAGGACAGGTTTCCCTGGCTCTTACCCGCCCCCCTGCCCCTTGTCTAAGACCACAGCCCACTGTGAAGCATCAGCTATCACTTCTGTGGGAGCCCAAGGGTGGGGTCTTACATGGGCTCATGCACAAGTCTGGGCCCCAGTGCAGTTGCCACAGGAGCGTCTCTGCTGAGCCCTTGACTGGTGCTGCCTCCCCTGCCGTGTCCCTGCCCCTGAGAGGGCTCGGGGGTGGTGGAGGGCAGGGCTGGACCAGCATGGCCTCCCCGTGTGTCCTTGGGGCCAGAACTGTGCAGGCCAGCGAAGGCGCCTCTCCTTTGCATCACGCTTGGTCCACAAAGCCTCTCCTCTCACAGAGATCCTCATGAGAAGAGCGCTTTCATTTTCTGCCTGTAGGATCTGTTTCCTCTCCAGTAGGACTCAGGCACAGGTCCCCAAAGCTGGGCTAAGGATGAGGATAGACCTGGCCCGTTTCCCGCACTGCCTTCTCCTGTCTTTCCTGTTTGTTCTTAGACCCTTTGAGTTCCACGCACCTGAACTTGCAAATAAATACTGCTGCATCAGATGTTCGGGGTGTGTCTGGATCTTAGTGATGGGGGTTTGGGCTCAGGTGTCTGTGTGTGTTGTATGCCTATGAGTGTGGGGAGGGGAGACTGGGTCTCCCTTACTTGGAAATCTAGCTCGGTTTGGGTTGAATGAGGCATAATTTGATTTACTGATTAAAGGTAGTAGCACTAGTGGTAGAGAACCCACCTACCAGTACAGGAAACATAAGAGACCTGGGTTCGATCCCTGGGTCAGGAAGACCCCCTGGAGGAGGGCATGGCAGCCCACCCCAGTGTTCTTGCCTGGGGAATCCCATGGTCAGAGGAGCCTGGCTACAGTCCACAGGGTCACTGAGAGTCAGACACAACTCAAGTGACTTAGCACAATATAAGTTTCTATTTATGTATATTTATTTATATTTATGTTACTTATTTAATTGCCTGTGGCATGTGGGATCTAGTTCCCTGCCCCTTTGGGAACCCAGGCCCCCTGCATTGGGAACCTGGAGTCTTAGCCACTGGACCACCAGGGAAGTCCTTGACTTATTCTTTGAGAACTGAAGGTTCAGTGGCAAGTTTGCCATTTCATGCCGTGAACATTATAAAGACCAGAGTGTAACTTGCTATGAAGAGAATGGCATCTCTTTTCCTCCTTGACTCAGGCGCTTGCAGGCCAGTCGTTAATGCAGACATAGGTTTTCCTCCTGTGGCTCCGCAGGAGCTGTGGGAGACAGCTCAGTGTTTACTGGCCTCGGGACGTACCCTGGCAGTTGTACTTTTATCTTTTCCACTGAATCCTTAATCATCGCTTGTTTTCCTCTGTACTGCCTCCCTCTTGAAAGCTTAATACAGAAACAGAAACTTGCAGGTTTATTGAAGATTGTGGTTGTCCGCCTCAGGGCTCGGGGTCTCTGGAATTGGCTCCCGCACAAACATGGGGCACTCGGCTCTGGCCGTGAGGCTTCCATCCCGTTTGTTGCATCTTTGTTTAAACAAACAGTGTGGTCTTTCTCCCTGTTAGGAAAGGAAGCCACTGAAACGCACTTGATTCCAGCCTCGCAGCCTGCCAGTGTGCTCCGAGTGTGCCAGAAATGACTGCCCACATTTTCTTGTTTCCGGCTGTGTGATGATCCTGAGATGCTTTGTCACCCACTCCCAGAAGTGTTTGGTGTGCAACAGGGCCCAGTGCTCCATGGTGAGCCCTGGGCCACTGTGATGTTGTGGTTCATACTGAGAAATGTATGTTTGATCTTTGTCCTTTTTCTTCTGAGCCCCTGCTATCCAGGGAGAGGAGAAGGTTGAGTTAAGTACGAATTCAGTTAGCCATGACCGTAGTGAAACCTATAAAGCCCCACAACGGCTGGGTGTGGAGAGCCTCCCGTTGGTGGAGGTGCTGGGAGAGAGGTGGCCGGGAGATTACCATACCCTCCGCCACCCCTGACCCCCTGCATCTCTCCATCCGACTGTTCATGAGTTACATCCTTCCCTAACAAACCAGTGACCTAGTAAGTAATATGTCTCTGAGTTCTTTATTTACAAAGCAGAAACAGACTCACAGGTTTAGAGAACAAACGTAGGTGGTGAGGGGAAGGGACAGTTAGGGAGTTTGGGATGGAGAGGCACACATTGCTGTGTTTTAAGGCTGACCAGCGGGGACCTGCTGTATATAGCCCAGGGCACTGTGCTGAGTGTTACGGAGCAGCCTGGATGCGAGGGGGTTGGGGGAGAGTGGACACGTGTGTATATATGGCCGAGTGCCTTTGCTGTCCACTTGAAACTGTCGCAACATTGTTAACTGGCTGTGCTCCAGTATAAAATTAAAAAGTTAAAAAAAAAGCCTCTGAGTTCTGTGCACTGCTCTAGCAAATTGATCAAACCCCGAGGGGGTTGTTGGAACCTCAGGAGTCAGGTGACAGCCTGGACTTGGGACTGGCATCTGAAGTGTGTGTGTGTGTTGGGAAGTCTTGTAGGACCGAACCCTCACCCCGTGGGCGCCCCTGCCATCTCCAAGCAGACAGTGTCAGACTTGAGTTGAACCGAAGGACACCTTCAGTCTGGAGCACTGCGTGCTTTGTGGTGTGGGGACACCCCCCCACCCTTACACCCCCTTCAGAACCGTTGCCAGAACACTGTGGCACAAGATATTCTCATGGCCCCACAGGCGAACACGAGGAGGCTGGCACTCTGACAGGGGCTTTGCCTTTTTGTGCAGCTTCTGTGCTTCAGGGCCCATTCTGAGCGCTGACTGTGGGATCATGAGGCAGAACGCCTGAAGGAGGTGCTGTTTCCGGTAGCACATCATGTTGAGAAGGCAGACACCAAAATAACTGTGATTCTGAGAGCAGTGCCTTAGCAGAGGGCCATGAGCGTAGTGGAGGGAGAGCATATCTCCATCTTGGAGTAGGAAGCCTGGATGCCTTCCTGGAGAGAGTGGCACTGAAGTTGGAGTTTGCACGATGACAAGGCATGTGTCTGGCGGGAGGGGGCAGCTTACTGCAGGGGAGGTTACAGCAAAGGTCAAGGCCCAGGGCACAGAGGGCTAGCACATCGATTAAGAGATGGGAAGCTTGGGGATGTTAACCTGTGAAGGCCCTTAAATCTGCTGTCAGAAAAAAGAAGCCCTTGACAAGTTTTAAGCTCGGGAGTGAGGCTGGTAGAGGGCTGGAGTGAAAGTGCAGAAAGGATGAGCTCCCCTGATCACGGGAATGGACCTGCAGACACTGAACACGGCCCTTTTTGTCTTCCAGGTATCTGATCCCTTGCAATCACATGATGCTGAGTCAGAGGTGGGCTGTGAAGGAAAGAGACTGTTACTCTGTGTCTGCGGCCAAGCTGCTCGCCCTGACCCCCGTCTGTTGCTCCAGCGGGATCACCCTGACGCTTGGGAACCAGGAGAGGGATTATATTCTCTGGTCAAAGTGCACGCGTGATAGCCCAGGTAGGGGTGTTGCTGACCTGCATCCCTGACCCTTGAAGCAATACAAATTGACAAGAGGCCAGGGGAGGAATTCAGGCAGGGCTTTCCCGGGCCTCTTGCTGCAGCCCAAGAACAAGAAGCAGATGCCTTTGCTTGCTCCCCAAGCCGGGGGCCAGGCTGGTCCCTTAAGTGGGGTGAGGGTGGGGGGTGAACCGGTAGGTGGGGTCAGAGGGCTGGCTTGGGTGGTCTGCCGACCCCCTGGCGGTGCTGGTTCTGGGACCATGCTCCGTGCCCTGTTGCTTCTGGCACCACAGGAGTGGCGGTCCAGCTTTGGCCTTTCTGTATGCTATTTTTCATCATTTGCCCCATCTGTGCATGCATGCGGTTATTTTTAGTTCCTCATAGCTTCTTTGTATTCTGTTGCTGGAGGGGAGGAGGAGATGCATGTCCAGGTGTAAGCACTGAAGCGCAGGGTCCCGGGTCCCAGCCTCCCAGGCAGCCCTCTCTAGTGATAATCTTTATAAACACGAGGATACCAGATGCCATCTCTCTTGGCAGACAGGGAATGCTGCATTGAGTCCTGTCTCTTTTATGACTGACTAGCTAGGGGTCCTTTTCTGCTTCTTGAAGTTGTAATAAGTATTCACTGACATGCCCAGCTCTCACCTGGTCAGTGTCCCCAGACCTCAATTTCACTAGGCTTTCCAGCAGCCTCCTCAGTGTACAAGCATGAGATGTGTGGTATTCGCACATCTTTTTAAACAAAATGGGGCCGGGGGTTGGAGTCGGCTATAGCTAAGGTAGAGTTAGCCCTTATTTTAGATAATGAAGAGGCTTGAATGAAATAAGGAGAGAGGTTGACGTGAGATGACCTTGACTTGGGGAGGTAGTGAGTAGGACTTGTTGCTTGACTTGTGGCTCTGCCACTGGCTCTTGGGTGATCTTTGTCTCTGAGCCTCAATTTCTTCATCCTGTAAATGGAGAAAACAGTGTCTCCACATAGGCTTGTTGTGAGGATTAAATTCGACAGCACCGATAAAGTGCCTGCCGGGTGGTAGATGTTTTAAGAAATGGTAGAATTTGTGTTTGCCCTTGTCTGAGTCCATTTTTCTCCTAAAGGAAATGTAAACATCAATGCAGATGTTTGCATAGCTATTTCAGTTACATGGTTGAGAGCTTTTAACATCAAAGGTAGTCAGTGTATCATTCTTAGGGTAAAGGGGCTGTTTTGGTAGTGAATATGAAAATTTATCACAAGACACTACTTGGAACATAAAACTCCCAGTAATTCTCAGGATGGCAGAATGAATTAACAGGCTTTTCGAAAAAACCCAGGGTTTTCTAGAGAAAATCTGTTTTCCAAGTTCACGGATTATATAGGCTTTCTACTTTAGAGTCAAAGCAAAAATCTTTTTAATTCTGACCTGCTCTATGTCAGGTGCCATGTTGGAAGTATTACTTCACCTAATCCTCCCCCCAGCTTGAGAGGTTGCCGTCATTGGCTCCGTTTCTCAAAGGCTGACACCCGGTAACAGACCCCCGCTGGCAGTGGCCAGATTGGTTTTCTGTTTCTGTCAGGGTAGAGTTTCTGTTTTTATTTTTTCTTCCTAAAAATGTAACCATTTTTTTGGTTCTTTGAGAATCATGGTCAGAAACCTTTAGAACCACAGTGTCTGGGAGGACAGGGTCTGGGCGGCCCCGCAGAGCCGCACCCCGTTCTGACTCGTGTGTCTCCTGGGCAGGGCCCACGGAGCCGCCGCTGCCCGAGGCGTTTGCGCCGTCGGCCTGCATCGTGGAGTACGGCAAAGCCCTGGACATCAGCTACCTGCAGTACCTCTGGGAGGCCCACACCAACATCCTCCGCTGCATGCGGGACTGCCGCGTGTGGTCCGCCCTGTACGACGGAGACTCCCCCGACCCCGAGGCATTCTGCTCGGGCCAGCCGGAGGAGAGGGCCCCCGGCGCCACCTCCCCGGTGCTCCGGCTTCCGCAGCAGGTCCCCGGGGCGACCCAGAAGGAGAAGAGCCACACGGAGCTGGAGTGGGATGACAGCTACGACACTGGGATCTCCTCGGGGACCGGCGGGGGCTCCCCCGGGCCGTACGAGGATGCTGAGAACGCCAGTCCCCCGGCCCCCGTGGACCCCCCCAAACACATCCAGGAGATGAAGAAGAACGCCATCCTGCTCTTCAAAGGGGCCTACATTGAAGAGTCTGACTTCCAGGACGATGTGATGGTGTACAGGCTGTGTGCTGAGAAGGATGCTGAAGACGCCCGTGGTTCACAGGAGGACTCCGTGAGGCCCCCAGCCCAGACCCAGGTCCAGGGTGTCCCCCTGAACAACGGCCCTCTGCCTGGCCCTGAACCAGGGACGGATTCGGAGGAGGAACATAGCAGGGACGATTCGGACGTGTCCCACAGTGCGTCCGGGGACCCAGAACCAGAGAACGAGCCCGAGGTCACCCCAGAGCCAACCCCCGAGTCAGCAGCCCCCAGCCCCGAGGTGGAGCCTGGTGCCCAGCCAACAGCGGCTAGCCCTGAGGGTGAAGATTTCATGGCCCAGTACGACCAGATCATTAAAGAGCTGGGTTCCAGCACCGAGGGCCTGATGGAGCAGGATCTCTCCTCACCAGGTGCCTTGCTGGTCACAAAGGAGCCGGAGGGGGAGAAAGACGGCAGCCAAGGGGAGGAGGAGGAGGAGGGGAAGGACCCAGAGGAGGACGATGCCTTTGACTCTTTCATAGCGGAGGCGCCCCCCACAGAGACCCCGCCATCCCCGTTCGGAGTGCGAGAAGAAGCCGCCTTTGCCAGTCACCGTCCTGCAAGGATGCAGAGCACCCCGTTTACAGGTGACGCCCTCAGATTGCTTTGTGGTTTCTGCTTTTGAAAGTACTTGTACGTATGGCATCAGAGGAGTGAGGTAGGTGCAGGTAAGGGGCATTCTTAGTTTACCTACCAGAGGGCTGGAAGCATTTTTGTAAGGAGCAGGGAGGAGTGGTTTCATTTTTATCTTATCATCTTGCAATGATTGTCTTTTTCCCCGCCTGCTCCCCCAAGCAAATTGGAGGTTATATTTTGCCATTAAGTAACTTCTATTGAGAGGCCAACAGGACTCACTAAACCCCACGAGAAGTCTGGTCTCATTATTTAATAGCTTCATTTCTTCTTCTTTTTTGGTGTTCAGTCACTAAGTTGTGCCTGACTCTTTGCGACTCCATGGACTGGAGCACGCCAGGCTTCACTGTCCTTCACTATCTCCTGGAATTTGCTCAGACTCATGTCCATTGAGTCAGTGATGCCATCCCACCATATCATCCTCTGTTATCCCCTTCTCCTCCTCTAGTCTTAATTTATTTTTCTCCTTAGCATTTGTTTTTATATGTTTTTTACGTTAATTGTTTTAAAAAACAATTCCGATTTCCTCCACTGGCTCGTGTGCTCCATGAGGGCACAGTTGTTGGCGTGGTCTCTGCTCTGTGCCTGGTTCTGAGCAGTGGACAGTGCATACAGTAGGTGCTCAGAATACCCCTTGAATCAGTGTGGCTGTATACAGACAGCACAGGCCATTGGAGTTAGTCGCCTTTGCCTGGGAACTCATTTCAATTAATCACAAAATCTTCATCCAGAAATGAGTAGAGCAGATCCACATAAACTCATCACTCTAATAAAAGAATGGGTGTGCTCCAGTGGTATACCCCTAACAGCGGGTAGAAATCATGGAAGAGGCAAAGGGCTAGGATAGGGTATCAGGTAAGTGGCTTGAGGTGAGGAATCATGGTAGAATTATTATTATTAAATTATTAGCCAAGTAAATTTATTACCAGAGTCCAATTTGGCTGCTCACCGATTGAAAGCTAATACTTGAGAGACACGCATTGGTGGAAGGAACATGCTTTATTCAGGAGGCTGGCAACCTGGGGAGAAGGCAGACTCGTGTCCAAAAGCCAGCCCCCCACTGCTGATTGGGAGCAAGAGCTTTTAAAGGGGAGCTTCGGGCACAGGCACAGTGCATAGGCAGAGGGAGGGGACAACCTGCAGAACAGGCACTGTCAGCTCTGACCGTCATCTTGAAATCAGTCTTGCAGTAGTCTGACCAGCATCATCTTGGTTGTTTGCAGAATCTCCAGTTCCAGGGTTGGTTTGTTCCTATTACTTTGGGGCCAGTTCTCAGAATTCTGGCAGCTTAGGTCATGGCCACAGTCTGGTCATCATGTAGTTAACTTTTTCTATCTGGTGGGGGTTTGAAAAACAGCTGAAAAACATCTGCAAAACAGCTCACAGGACATCACTTAGAATTTTATCTATAGCGTTTGAAGAGGAACTAAAGGTCCTTGATTTTGTTTAACAGCTAAAGTATTATTATTTTGTCTTGCTTGACTAGTTTCCTTTGCTTTTGTAGTTTTCTGATTACATTTTTTCTTTGGCTGAAGTTTTTTCTGCAAATGGGAGGCAGGCAGGAGACATGAGGGAGGGCTGTCCCGGGAAGGCCCCTCAGGATCCTGCCCCTCTGAATCTGGGATCATGGCACAGAGGGAGCTTCCCTGGGCTTGGGGGCAGCTGAGGTGGGACGCCTGAAAGGTGTTCAGTGAGAGGAGAGGGTCCTGAGGGAGCCGGCATCCCAGAGGAACAGACTGGCCTTGCATCAGGCCTGTGGGGACTCCTAACTTGGGCACTTCAGCCACATGGCCTTGGTGTCCTAACCCTGGGAGAGCTAAATGTGATCCTGGGGGTGGAGGATGGGCCACGTCATTACTGTCACCACAGGCAGCCCCCAGCAGCCTCAGCTGAGGCTCGTCCTTCCCCGGCCAGGAGGGGACGGCTTGGTGGGGAAAGACCACGCCCCCTTCCCACCTGCTTGGATCACCCATCACCCATGAAGTCACAGCATCTTCAGGTGCAACCAGGTTGGCTGACATGATCTCAGCGCACTCTTCCACCTCCTCCAACATTTCTTCATCTATTTACTGATGACTGAAAATTTGTTTAAACAAGTAGAAGGCTTTTAATTGCACAATTACAAGGCTTGGAGTTCTAGCTGAGATAACATTTCAGTGTAAATGGGTTTTAATTAAAACTCAATCAATCAATCATAAGTAAAAAGGATTAGACAGTCTGGCTTGTCCCAGTTGATAAGGGGAGGGTGGGGAGCATGAGGGCGCTGGCCTACTGCGGGTGAGGCAGAGTTTGGTGGGAGGAAGGACAGAGCTAGCACCAGCTCTCCCCACAGGATACCCCGTCTGCCCTCACTCAGCAGGACTTCCAAGTTTGTCTGCTGTGTTCTCCAGGACTAACAGGACTACCCACTGCTAGTGAAGATTGTTCTTCAGAATACTGGCCTTCTTATAGAGGAGCTTCATCCCTGGGCACTAAGTAAATTGAGGAAGTAAAGTATTGTTGTTCAGTCGCTCAGTTATGTCCGACTCTTTGCGACCCCATGGACTGCAACACGCCAGGCTTCCCTGTCCATCACCATCACTTGGAGCTTGCTCAAACTCATGTCCATTGAATTGATGATATCGCCATCCAACCATCTCATCCTCTGTCATCCCCTTCTCCTCCTGCCTTCAATCTTTCCCAGCATCAGGGTCTTTTCAAATGAGTCAGCTCTTTGAATCAGGTGGCCAAAGAATTGGAGTTTCAGCTTCAGCATCAGTCCTTCCAAAGAATATTCAGGACTGATTTCCTTTAGGATTGACTGGTTTGATCTCCTTGTAGTCCAAGGACTCTCAAGAGTCTCTTCCAGCACCATAGTTAGAAAGCATCAATTCTTCACCGCTCAGCCTTCTTTATGGTCCAACTCTCACATCCATAGATGACTACTGGAAAATCCATAGCTTTGACTAGACAGACCTTTGTTGGCAAGTGGTGTCTCTGCTTTTAACATACTATCTGGGATGTCATAGCTTTTCTTCCAAGGAGCAAGTGTCTTTTGATTTCATGGGTGCAGTCACTGACTGCACTGATTTTGGAGCCCAAGAAAATAGTGTGTCACTGTTGCCATTGTTTCTCCATCTGTTTGCCATGAAGTGATGGGACCAGATGCCATTAGTTTTTAGAATGTTGAGTTTTAAGCCAGCTTTTTCACTCTCCTCTTTCACTTTCATCAAGACATTCTTTAATTCCTCTTTGCTTTCTGCCATAAGGGTGGTGTCATCTGTGTATCTGATTATTGATATTTCTCCCGATAATCTTGATTCCAACTTGTGCTTCATCCAGCCTGACATTTCTCATGATGTACTCTGTATTGAAGTTAAATAAGCAGGGTGACAATACACAGCCTTGACGTACTCCTTTCCTAATTTTGAACCAGTCCATTGTTCCATGTCCAGTTCTAACTGTTGCTACTTGAGCTGCATATAGGTTTCTCAGGAGGCAGGTAAGGTGGGCTGGTATTCCCATCTCTTGAAGAATTTTCCACAGTTTGTTGTGATCCACACAGTTAACTTAGGGCAAAAAAAAAAAAATCTAATACATCACCTATTAAATAATATCAATATTTTGAATATGGTACACCTGAAAATCAACAAACCATAATCTGAGATTTGGATACATATAGGTAATTTTAACTGAAACCTTGTCCGTTTCCTCCTTTGAACCTTGTACAGCTTCTTTTCTCTCCCCATGTGTGTGAACTTCGTCATGTCCAAACTTCTGAGTTTGTTCTGCAGCATTTGGTTTAACTTCCCTCTCTCCATGGAGGGCTTCCTTGGCGGCTCAGTGGTAAAGAATCTGCCTGCAATACGGAGCTGCAGGTGATACGGGTTCAATCCCTGGGTTGGGAAGATCTCCTGGAGGAGGAAATGGCAGCTCATTCCAGTGTTCTTGCCTGGAGAATCCCGTGGACAGAGGAGACTGGAGAGCTACAGCCCATGGGATCACAAAGAGTTGGACACGACTGAAGTGACTTACCATGCACTCTCCATGGAATCCTAATTTCTGCAGAAATGAATTTACTACTCAACAAAATCAGAGCATTCCATTTCATTTATATAATTTATTTTATTTATTCATGCATTCAGCAATCTTTTGTCAATCCCCTGATACTCTGTGCTAAATACTAAGGACACAGAAATGAAGGGAATTGTAGACTTTCAGAGGCGACATCAACAAAGAACTGTATGCTCTTTGTGAGAAATGTATTATTAGTCATAGTGTCCAAATCCTGTGGGGGCCCAGTGCGGGGAGTGGGAAAGGCTTCACAGAGCGGGGCCATAGAGGACAGAAGGTTCTGGGTGAAAGCAGCTGAGAATGGCTGTCAGGCAGGGGAAACAACAGGTGAAGAGAAGGGGCCTGCCACCACCCGGGGGTGACGAGGCCTGGATCTCAGGAGTAGAGAGGAAGCCACAAGACTGGTGTATGCCGACGCAGGGAGCCCTCAGGCCACGCTGAGGAGTGGGGACTTGTGCTCCAGGCCCTGAAGACTGCCCGTCAGAGTGGGTGAGTGGTGTGACCAGATTCCTGTTTGGAAAAGCCAGTCTTGAAGACTGTGGAGAGAGCATTGGAGTGAGGAGAGGCTGGTGCCAGGAAGATCCAAGTAAGAGGCTTGTCATTGTATCTGGATTCAGAATGCAGGTGTGATAGTGTCTGCAGGAACATTTTCACAGCTGTGGTCACATGATGGGCTGAGATGTGTACACAGAGATGTTCATTGGAGCATTACTTATAACAGAAGTCACCTAAGCGTCCGCCAGTAGGGGACTGTTTTGCTCATGTAACACCCATGGCAACCGGATGTCTTATGAATGGACAAGATGGCTCTGTGCATGGTGATACGGCACAGTCTCTGTGGGAGACACTGCAGTGCAAAAACAAGAGGCTGAACAGTGTGTAGACAGTATTATCATCTTATCATTTATTTAAAAAATCTACCAGGAGGTAGACACACACACACATACGCTCACTCACCCTGGGGAGCAAGGCAGTGTGTTGGTTAAGAGTACTGATCCTGGAAGCAGACGGCCTGAATAATTGTGACTGCACTTACTCACTGTGCCTGTGACATTCTGCATCGTCTTTGGTGGTGGTGGTTTAGCTGCTAAGATGTGTCCAAGTCTAGCGAACCCGTGGACTGCAGCCTGGGGATGATGATTGGGTTGGCCAAAAAGTTCGATTGGGTCACATTTATGGAAAAACCCAGGTGAACTTTTTTGGCCAACTCAACAATAAACACACTTTGTAGGGTTGTTGTGAATATTTAAGTAAGTCAATACATGAAAAGTGCTTACAACACTGCCTGGCACATAGTAAGTGATTAATGTTTTTAATGATAACTCAATTATTATATTTATTATATACATGAAACATTGCTGAAAGAATGCACTTGGATCTGTTAACAGGAGTTGCCTCTGGCAGGAGGCCTAGTCCTTATTTTATACCTCTATACTCTTAGAAGAAGAAAAATTTTCAATCATTTTAGTCTTTATTGAAATAGAAAAACTTACTTGAACACCAGACAGGTGAGGAGACTGACCTCGGGCAGTGCTGGTAGGGGAGGTGGAGGTGATGGTCTGCTTTCGGGAGGTTGTTTCCAGGTGGAGTCGGCAGAGCTGAGGCTCAGAATGAGGGTGGCGCCTCTAGGAGTCAGGAAGCACCTGTGAGGGTGGGGGTCACTGAAGCAGGGAAGAGGGCCTGAGGGGAGACAAGGGAATGACATATCATTCGTTGTTCTGAAAATTCAGTATTTGTGGGTGTGGAGTTAATCTGTCTTCCCAGAAGGGGGAAAAATACACCCTCATTCCCACACACACCTGTGGCTTTCTGAACTGTAACTGAGTTTTCTCATCTTCAGCTGCTTGCCCGTTTCCCCTTCCTCCTGCATTTCGCTCAGGAGGTTTTTTTACAGTGCTACAATCGACTAAGAATAAAACAGGAACTTGAAAGGGTTTAATATCTTTCTTATTGCACATGCCTAAGTGTTAGTGGATTATAGACAGTCTGCTGACCTTGACCTGATACCCTGTGTTCAGGCGAGACAGTGATGACGGGACTGTCCCAGGCCCGGTGGCGGGCTGGGTTCCCTCCCTGACAGCAGTGCTGGACGGTAGACCGTCAGTACTGCCACTGCACCGCTCGGCCTTTGTGTCTGTAGGGTGGCCGGGAAGGTGAGGGCTCTCATTAAGGAGGTTTTTTAAATTTACTTATTTTTGGCCGCACTGGGTCTTTGTTGTTGCGTAGGCTTTCTCTCACTGCAGTGAGCAGGGGCTCCTCTTCGTTGTGGTGCACAGACTCCTCACTGCAGTGTCTTCTCTTGTTTTGGCGCGTGGGCTCCAGTCGCTGCGGCCTGAGGGCGCAGTAGCTGTGGTTCCCGAGCGAGAGTAAGGCGCAGGAGCTGCGGCGCACAGGCTCAGCTGCCCCATAGCATGTAGGGTGTTCCCGGACCAAGGCTTAACCGCGTGTCCCCTGGGCTTACCCTCTCCCACTACCAAGGCTTCTGAAGGAAGCATCTTGTGATGAAGTATGTCTTTATTAAACTCGTATTAATGTTGGTGAAATCTTCCTAGGGCATGTTTATTCATGGCCTGTGGATTCCTATTCACTGTACCACCAGGAAAGTCCAAGGAGATAGGTTTTATAGGAGACTCTTCCCACCCAAGTATCACCTGAGCCACCTGTCTCGTTCCTCTGGAAGGAAACAGATGCTGAGTCCCGGGGACTGCAGGGGAGCAGGGTCGGGGAGGGCGTGAGCCCAGGCCGGGGTCGGGGAGTGAGGACAGCAGCCTTCCCCCGGTAGATCTGCCTGAAAGACTAGAATTAAGTAGAGCTGCTGGTGACATTTTGGGGGTTCTTGGTGGAACCCCATCAAGTTTCTGTCGTGGTGTTGCAATCCAGAGTTTCTGAATGTGGTTGGCACTGTCTCCAGCTTTGTTTTGTAAGCAGGGGCTCTCTATTCGAAGAATTCATTGACCTCCCTGTGTCCTGAACAGCGACTCAGGAGCTCTGCCCACGCCCAGGGAAGGGGAAGTTGGGGCCAGTCTTGACACACAGATGGAAGGTGTCTCCTGGGCTCTAAGGTGCCTCAGTGACAGCATCTGTGTTTGTAGTGGCAGAAATGGTGCCAGGACTCTGTTACTTGTCAGCGTGGGGAAGAGGCTTAGGTTTGCTTTCCCCATTTCTCACAGATAGCGTCTGCCTTCTTACAAAGGTTTACCCTCTCCCACTACCAAGGCTTCTGAATGAAGCACCTTGTGATGGAGTATGTTTTTGTTAAACCCATATTAATGTTGGTGAAATCTTCACAAGGCATGTTTATTCATCAGGGGTTATGTGCTTTTGTCAAAAATATGCCATGGTTTAGAGGCATCATCAATAGCTCCACTGGGGGAAGTAGAAAATTCTCATTGATTTTGCTTATTGGACCACTTTTATGGTGAAAATGGAAAACATCTTCAAGTAATTTTATTAATGCCAGATTTATTTTCTGGATTTTCCTTGCCTTCAGTCAACTCAAATGAAAAGCATATTATTTTTCTGGTGACCCAACTTAGTTGAAACTTTTTTTTTTTTTTAAATAAACTGCTTTTACAGTCTTAGGGAATTTCTTGTTTAAGGAAACCTGGACACACGGACTCCAGTTCCCCACATTGAGCACTGAGTCCCTCCCCTCCACAGCTTAAAGTTGTGGCTCTAAAATTATAGCCAAGACCTCCTTCACCTCTCATATTCTCTTTTTTAAAAAAAATATTCATTTATTTGGCTGCGCTGGGTCTTAATTATGGTAGGAGGGATGTAGTTCCTTGACCAGGGATAGAGCCTGGGCCCTCTGCGTTGGGAGTACAGAGTCTTGTCCATCGGTTCTGTGACAACCCCCACACCCCTTCTCAATGCTGTTGCTAAACATAGTTTGTAGGTATTTGCTATTCTTTAACAACAGGAAGACTTTGTTAAACTTTTGATGGCCGCTAATGTTTGCATGACACCCTATAGAGCATGAGGTCTTCTCTGATGGGTCAGTGGATGAAGAATCTGCCTGCGGTGTAAGAGACACAGGAGAAATGGGTTAGATCCCTGGGTGGGGAAGATCCGCTGCAGAAGGGAATGGCAGCCCACTCCGGTATTCTTGCCTGGAGAATTCCATGGACAGAGGAGCCTGATGGGCTACAGTCTTGGCATTGTTGGCTATAGCATGCACCATCAGGGAATGAAGAGTGCCATGTTTTAAAGCATTGGCAGCCCCAGGAGATAGAGAAATAGTATGAAAAGTACATTTTTGTTTTAAAAATTAAATCACTTGTCATTTTTTCTAAGGTCCATGATAATTTTCAAAGTATTAAAACTGCTCAGGGAGTGAAAATACTAGCTCCCAAAGCACGGGTTTCTGCTTTGTCTTTGTGGTGGTGGTATGCCTCGTGGTTTGGTTTTGAGGCACCAGGTGACCTGGTCCCCTCAGCTGCACTTGTCTGAACTTGATTTGCCCCCAATGGCCCTGCGGCAGCCCCCTGACTCCTTGGTCTTCAGGAGAGACGGCCCCTGCGCCCAGCCGGCCCTGAGCCTCGTGTCCTTCTGCAGGCCCGTTCATCAGCGTCGTCTTGTCCAAGCTGGAGAACATGCTGGAGAACTCACTGCACGTGAACTTGCTGCTCATTGGCATCATCACACAGCTGGCCAGCTACCCGCAGCCCCTCCTGCGATCCTTCCTGCTCAACACCAACATGGTCTTCCAGCCCAGCGTGCGCTCCCTGTACCAGGTACCGCCCGGCCCGAGCACCTGCGCACACCTGCTGCCAGAGGCGTGGCTGATGCATAGGCCTGCCCCCGGCCCTGCCCCGTGCGCCTGCAGACACCTGCTGCCAGAGGCGTGGCTGATGCACAGCCCCGCCCCCGGCCCCGCCCACGCACCTGCACACACCTGCTGCCAGAGGCGTGGCTGATGCACAGCCCCGCCCCCGGCCCCGCCCACGCACCTGCACACACCTGCTGCCAGAGGCATGGCTGATGCACAGCCCCTGGGCCCGCCCCATGCGCCTGCACACACCTGCTGCCAGAGGCGTGGCTGATGTGCAGGCCCCGCCCCAGCTCCGCCCATGCTCCCGCACACACCTGCTACCAGAGGCGTGTCTGATGTGCAGGCCCCGCCCCGGCCCCGCCCATGCACCTGCACACACCTGCTGCCAGAGGTGCGGCTGGTGTGCAGGCCCCGCCCCTGCTTCCGGCCCCGCCCCTCTCCCCTGCTCTCATTTGCTCTCCAGCCCGGTCCTTTTACGCTGGTTGTGTGGACCATTCTAGACAAACTGAAGATTTGAAGCTTGTTTGATTTGATGTTTTGAGAGCACCACTCCGCCCAGAAAGCCCAGGCAGTTAAAACCCCGTTGTTCCTGCAGTGGGGGCTGTGCCTGACAGATGTCCTGATAACGCAGATCAGAACTCCGTGCTGAAGTATTAGCGTCATTAGTGCTGGTTTTGACAGGTCCTTGCGTCCGTGAAGAATAAGATTGAACAGTTCGCCTCCGTGGAGAGAGACTTCGCTGGCCTCCTCATACAAGCCCAGCAGTACCTGCTCTTCCGCGTGGACCTCTTTGATCCGAGCCCCGAGACACCCACCAAAGGTCAGCGGGGTCCTCCCCTGTCCCTCCCTGTCAGCCGCTCCTTTCCCCTAGCTTCCCGACTTGGGGTCCTGGGTGCTGCACCAGCTCCTGGATGCTAAAAGCATCTCAAAAAAAAAAAGAAACCTCAAAAAAGATTTCCATTTTTACCCTGAGTGTCCTTAAACCAAAAGGAACATCTGCCCCACCCATACGCAGCCTGGTCCCACTTTGGAGGGTCTAGCAAGACATTTGTTTTCCTAACCTAGGGTAGTTCAGGGCAGGACTGATGTGGGAGCTGTTTCTAGAATAAATGACTTGGCCAGACAGAAGCCTTATGTGCTCAGTTTGGTCGGTCCTACCCCAAGGAGGGCATCCAGTTTACTTATTATGTTTTCAGAGACTTTTGAGCCCCAAATAAATGTGCTTTAGGGCTCCAGAAGGTGAAAACCATTCATCTAGAGCAAGAGAAGTAAAGTTTGTGTGCACCTTAAACCTTCCAAGATGCCTTTCCATGGGCTCTGGAGGGCTGGCCCATCAGGTGGCGCGGTTAGGAATCCAAGGGCCCCTGCTGGCCACTGGGCCTGGGGAACGGGCTGCGCAGCCTTAATGAAACTCCGGTCACACAGATTGGACAACAGCTGTCTGTCTTACTGCGCAGGCTTCTGTTCATCTCCCTTGAGACAAGTCAGGCTTCTCTGCGGCTGGCGGACGACAGAGAGAGCAGGGCTGTCGGTCCGGGGCTAAAGCACGTGATGGGAAACACGATTTGCAGTGAGAGGCAGGAGTGTAATCCAGAGCAGTGTTACACCGCTGAGGGAAGCTGGGAAGGCCCCGCCCTTGATGGCGGGCCCTGGCCACCGTGTAGCTGTCTGTTCTTGGTCCCTTCTCTTCACGGGACTTAGGCCTCGACTCTCAAGTGAAGATTTGTCTTCCGTCTCTCGAGTCCTTTCTGACTGCAGAATTCAGGGTGTGAAACGTGTTTAGAACACTGCAAGACAGACTCTGAAAGAAAGGAGGCCCTGTGCCACTGGCGACCTGAGGGGGAAGCTTCAAGCACGGGCCGTGGAGACGAGCTGGTGGCCAGTCTTGGAGGAGAGCCCCCCGTCTGTGGGAAGGTGGGCTGCAGGTTCCTTGTGGCCTCTGCCAGCCTCATGACAGTCAGCCTGTTAGCTTGTCCCTCCTGAGCAGGGGGTGCGCTGCCGTGACTCACCCTGAGAGAGCAGTGTGCGTTAGCTTTTGTGCGTAATAAACCACCGCAAAAGACTCCAAACACAGTGATCACATGTGCTCGTGAGTCTGTGTGGTTGGCAGGTGGATCTGCTGCTCTGGGTGAGCATGGCTGATGCTGGCAGGACTTGCTCAGCGTGGCTGGGCATCTGGGATGGTCTGGCTCACACCGGTGGCTGCCAGCCGGGGTGATGGGGTGATGGGGGTCTGTGTTACTCGTCAGCCAGTGGGTTTGCCCTGACTTGGCAGCTTCATGGCTGTAGGGTAGTGGGAGCAGAAGACGCAGTCTCTTGGGGCCCCAGATGGGGACCCCCCACCTAACAGGTTGATTCTGCTGCATTCTGTTGGCCAAGCCACGGGTCAGCCCAGCTGCAGGAATGGAGCAGACCACCCCCACCCCCCGATCCCCGAGATGGGAATAGCTGCGCAGGATCATGGCCATGTGCAGTCATGTGCAGACAGAAGGCGACTCGAGTCTTCTTGTGCTGCGCTCCGGGCTTGGTCTTTATTTGTGCTTTGCAGTTTGTAAAGTGCTTTCACAGACAGTTTTCCTTTCCAGACAGCAGTGTGCAGTGGACATGCAGGGTACTTTTAGCTTCGTTTTCATAGAAGGGGGCTGACGGTATTGGCCCAGAGAGGTCGGCCAGGTGCCTGGTTCAGAGAGTCTGGGGGCTCATGCCCTGAGCAGCCTCTTGGACCCACACAATCCTGGTGCAGATGGTGGCATTGTGGGGTGGAGGGGTCACTCAAACCTTGTGCTCCGTCCTGGCTTCAGACTGTGTGATGGCGGTGCCTACGGGATACGTGCCCAGGGGGTCTTGTCCCCGCCTCCTAAGGTGGTCAGTTAGGCAGCTGTGGCGGATGATTTCTAAGGCCTGTGACTCTCAGGGGACGTTGACTTGTAGGAAGTGTCTCTTGGGATAGAAGACTCCCCTTTGATGGAGTTTTTCAGATTAACCTCCTAATTAACCTCTTTCAGCTTAGCAAAGTGACACTCTCCCCTCAACTTTGAAAATCTTTCAACTCACAGAATGACCAAGGTCTCTGTCCCTTATACAAACCTGACTCATGTGTGACATGATTGCTTATAAATGAGATGGGCCTGGGAGCCTGCTTCTCAAGGGGCACAGGACAGTGAGCGATCAGAATCCCGTGAGAGGCGTATCCTGGGGGGTCTAGTGTCCGCGTACCTTCTCTGACGCCCTGACGGAGGTGCAGGGTAACTCATTTCTCTAACTTCTCCAGTCTTCCCAGCAGCATCCTGAAAACCCTTTGCTGTAGCTTTTCAGACCTAGGGCAACATTTTAGGAAGCCACTCCCGGTTGTGGCATTTATACTTCCTTTCTTTCCTATTTCTGTATACCCCTTTTCAAGGGGTGTATAGTTCATGGACCCGCAGCCTGCGCTGCTCCATCACGCAGGCCCTGGTGAAACCAGCCTCCTCACTAACACTTCAATCAGAAGCCTGGGTGGACTTCTCTGCTGCACATTGTCACTCTTGAGACTCTTGATCTCTGAGGCTCAGCCACTTGCCAGGCATTTCATGTTTCCCTCAAATACAAATTCCAAACCACCAAGGTGGTATTTTCTGTTATTCACGTATAGAGTCCTTTCCCTGACTGCTAGTTCTGGAAGGGGCCAGGCAGGTATGGACAAGGACACCAAGCCATTATGTGACTAGCTGGTTGCCAGGTAGGGCCATAACTCAAGTCTCCTTGTTTTTGAGTTGAGTTTGACTCAAGGAAAGAACCGTGAGTTCTTTATGCTGCTGGGACAGAATCACTGCCAGGACTTCTGCTGGCCTTCTGCCTGCCTCATTGGGCCTGCCCCGCCTTCATCAGTGAAGACAGTGTTAATTCTTGGATTCAAGCTGGGTAAATGAGGCTTAGCGATGACACTTTTAAAATTCATGGATCAAGCTGGATAAATGATCCACAAAAGCCCTTTGTGGGGAAAGAGTAAATTTGAAAGAGAAAGATGGAGATGAGGAAGTGAACCAGCTCCAGGGAGCAGTTGATGGCGGTTCCTTCCCTCATTCATTCAGCAAATGTCTGTTATCTTCTTCTGTGGATGAGAGCGTGTGTTGGGGCCCATGAAGGACACACTGTTTAGGGGCTCAGTTCTTAGAAACCTCAAAGTCTAACAGAGGAGAAAGAACAGAAACAGCACCCCCAGGCTGAAGGGCACTGCAGACCCCAGCTGGTGAATAAAATGAGTGGGAGGCTCGAACAGGGGGGTCACTTCCAAGCGCAGGAAGCGGAAGTGGTTTATAAACTCAGTGGCAACTGAATTGATGGCAGTGTGATGGCTGACACTTACCAAGAGGTCCTTGTGTACATTAAGGACCTTCCTGTGAGTTTGTGAGAAACGAGGACAGGAAAGCACAGACAGGCAAACCAGCCCGCCTGCTGTCCCGCAGCCAGTACGTGGCTGCGTCTGTGCTCTAAACCGCTGTTCTGGCACCTCTTAAACCTGGTGAGGCTTAGGTGTGCAGACACGGGCGGGAACGCCAGGTGGGGGCCAGTACAGGCAGTGTGGGTCTCGGTCTGGTGCCCGTGTTCCATCTCAGGGAGATGGGTCCCGGCCAGCTTCCTGGGTGGGCCCCGCTGGGTCCCCTGGAGAGCTGGGTGCTGTGGCACTGGAGGGCTGGGGGTGTAGCTCAGGCATGGTCCCCCAGGGCTGGGGGGCTGGCTGTGTCCCCGGGGATGTCAGCACTTCTGTCCTCACGCTCTTGTCAAGGCATAGTGTGAGTTTCTGCTGAAAGGTAGCAGCAGATTCTCAACAACTTCCCCAGTTCTTTATGGCATGAACTGTAATAAGCTGTAATCTAAAGGAATATTTAAAGCAGTAGAGTGGAGGATTTTTTTTTTAACACTAAAGACTATAGTAGTGAGATGTGGAAAGTACTATAAATGTCAAGAATTTTTAGTACCATAGTTAAGCAACACTCTGAGAAGAATGTTGAGAAATGGGACTGAATTCTAAAAAGCAGCCAAAATAATGAAGAGCTTGAATATAATGATTTATAGGGAGTAATGAGTCTGTTGGAGAGGGGGACAGAGGAAGACATAAATAATTCCTATTGCCTGGAATGCTAGAGATCTTCAGGGATTAAATAGGTAAGTTGAACCATTTTAATTGGTAAACTGATTCAATAGGAAAATGTAAATCACTTGGGTATGCAAAATTTGGTTCATATCATCTTAGATGAACATTATTGAAACTGAGATTGAAACTCCTGGAAACCTTGCTTGAATGGAAGGTCCAGGCCACCCGCTGCTGTGAGATGCCCACAGTGGTGGAAAGTCCCCTGTCTGGCCTGATGAGCCTGCAGCTTCCGCTCCATCTTTCCAACCTTGGAAAGGCTCCATCCATTCTGTTCCTCCCAAAGGCTGGAGGTCCCACCCAGAAGCGGGTGGGGATCAGGGCAGGAAGCCCTGGAGGCCGGAGCCCTGACCCAGGCCATGGGCAGTGTGGGGTGTGTGACTCAGGCTGCCTTCCACAGCCCTGTGGGGTGGTCCGGGCTCAGCTGGCGAAGGGAGGATGGTTACTCCGACCCCAGGAGGCCAGGAGGGCAGGTGGAACCCCTGTTGTCCTAGAGAACCATCACACTCACCCGAGTCTTCACTTGGCTGACTCAGCGGGAGATGCCTTTTCCCTCTTTCCCCTTCACCTCGCCCTAGGCACAGACGGTTCCTGATAAACATATATTCCTGCCACAGTTTCTGCTTGTTGCATGCCTGATGCTGGGGCTGACCTGCTGGGTGGATCTGAGTGTCTCGGAGGGAAGCAGAGGGGGGCTGGGGCCGTGTCTTCAGACTCCAGTCAGGGTGGGAACTGAACGTGCACGCCTGCCCCCCAAACACACACGCGTCACTTAAGGGGTGGACAGAGGGCTTCTGGGGGCTCCTCACCACGGCTGCCTGCCTTCTGGTTTCAGGTCCCGTTCAGGATGCCTCCAGGACAGGAAGCAGCAAGAACTTCTTGGATGGCCCCCCGAGAGTACTTCAGCCCTTCGTGATAAACAGAGCCAAGGTGTTGGGGGCGCCCCCCAGCCTGCCCCCGCCGGTGCGGGACACCATGCTGGCAGCCGCCCTCTTCCCCGAGTTCCTGAAGGAGCTGGCTGCCCTGGCCCAGGAGCACTCCATCCTCTGCTGCAGGGCCCTGGGCGACCCGGACGACGCCTGCTGGTAGTCTGGAATAGAGGTTCTGGTCTTCTGCGGTCTAGTGTCTTGACTGAATGTTGAATGCAAAGCTGCTCACAGACATCTCTACTTGGAGACTTCCTGACGACACTTGATTCTGGGGGAAGGGGCCTTCTGAGCACCTCCTCTCTCTCCAGCCGGGTTTCCCCACCTTGTCTGCCCACTGACGCGGTCGCTCCCTTGGCAGGCTTTCTGGGCTCCGTTTGTCTCCTCCTCAAGAGGGCTTGGTCCTTACTCTCCCATCCCTTTGAGTGGGAGCACAGGTCCACCCAGTGACCCCCAGGCCTCAGTGGCTTCTGGAGGTGCCCCTGCCAGAGGGCTGGCCCTCCAGCGGCACATGAACACACACCTGCCCCTGCCACCTTCCGCGTCGTGGCCCCCTCTTACAAAGGGAGGAGTAAAGATGGAGCCTGTCTTGCCTCCAACAGAAGCCCGAATCATCCGTCCTTTTGTGTGTTGCTTCCAACACTTGTATTCCATCCAACACATGTTGCCTTACCCTTATGGTGCAGGCAAATCCACTGGTCTCAGCTCTCTGCCCAGGAAGTCAGGTACAGCTGGAAAGAATGTGGAATGCAGGGAAATGTCTCGTTTGCTCGAGAGCTTTCTTTACTCATATCACCACCTCAACACTGAAAATAGCCTTATTTTAGTAAGATTTGCACACAATGAGCTCTGCCTATGCAAACTGTTATTTTGTTTTTTAGGACTCTGATCAACCTAATGAACAAAGCATGGTATCTGATGCTTATGTAAGGAGACAGCCATTGTTATTTTTTTAAGTGTTTTATGAAAAACTAATTCATTTGTGAAACTATCTCATGGTGGGTATTTTTGGGGAGTATGGAGTGGGGGAAAGGATAAAGGTAAACTAAATACAATCTGTACAAACCTTGGTAATTATTTAAAAATCTGTTTGCTTTTTCTAATATGTTGCACTTTGTAGAGAAACAGGAACTGTACAGCCTCTTTGGGGACTGGGATGCAGGGGCCAACAGGTCATAGGGAGCCCCGCCAAGCCAAGTGCCTGCTGGGCCTCGCTCTGCACAGAAACACCGCCTTCTGAGTAACAGGCTCATTAGGAGGCCCCACTGTGATGTATTAGCGCATCTCTGCTCTGTAGCCCACTCCGCCAGGCGTAATTATACTCAGAGCTTCGGTCTACTCCCACGGAGAGGGAGAAGCACACAAAATAATTGTGGGCTAAAAAAAACAACATAAACAACCGATATTCATGGATATTATTAGATTCCACTGCCCTGTACTGTGTGCAGGTGAGAAGCTTGGAACTAGGATGAGCTCTGTTTGGAAGGAAATTGGAAGCCCCAGGTCTCTCTCCTCTCTTTGTGGGTGTCTTGCTGAGACCCTGGCGGCAGCGCTGGTGTGGGTTTTAATCAGGCCCTAGTACAGCAGGGGCATGAAGGGGAGAAGTGAGTGAGGTGCTGCGGAGCCGAGGCTGCAGTTGTGTTCAGGGACCTTGAGGCTGCTCTGTATCCAAAGCGGGCAAGTCCCCCTCGGGATGAGGCCCCTGGAGCGCTGGCTGGGGCCAGGGGACTCCTCGGAGCCAGCCTCACAGTCTTCGGGTCTAGGTAAGAAGCCAGAGCTATGGAGCCACTGTGTGTTCTGACTGTTTGCCTGTCTAGAAAGGTGGCTTGCCAGCTGCGGTGCACGCTGGCCTGCTCTTGGCTTCCCAGTGCCCACTCGTGTTGCATAAGTTTCTACTGGAGAAGAAGGTGTCTCGGAGGCAGAGAGAGAGGAGCAGAAAGATGGAGTTTTGGCTGTAATTTATTACCTTCCAGTTTTGTTTTGCACAAGTTATTTATCTTCCAGTTTTCACTCACTGGGTATATAAGATGCTCAAGTTACATCCAGAAGCCATATCCTTTAGCTTTCCGGTGTGATTTACACTGTTTTCCATTACCTGGTGATGGTGTGGGGCCTTTTTCTTGCTTTATTATAGGAAACTACAGTCCCCAATGTGGAAGGCACTCTCTGGGGAAGAGTATGTATTTAAAGTAGGTACTGAAGTAGACTTAGAGGAGGACGGAGGTGACCCGAGTCTGCAGCGAGAGGCAGGATTAACTCCCGTGGTGGTTGCTGGTAGCCAGCCCACAGGACAGCCCTGTCTGTTTGGAGGCAGACACCGGTTCGGGTTTCTGGATCCATTGCAGCCTGCCACTGGAGTATTATGTCCAGGGTTTCTCAAAATGAGGTCAAAAAAGGAACCTGGAAGTACATTCGTGGGAACGGGTGAACCTCTGCAGTTGAACAGCCAGGTGGGTTGGGCACGGATGTTTGGGGGTGGGGTGGACACGTGTGAGGGCACACACAGAGACGGGGAGCTAAAACGAGCAGACCTGAGGAGACTGGGGAGAGGAACGCTGACAGGCAGACAGGGAGATACTGAATGCAGCCAGGTGGCAATTGGAATCCTTGGTGGGAAAAATCTTGGTACTGAAGTAGATGAACTTCCCGGGTGGCATTAGTGGTAAAGAACCCGCCTGCCAATGCAGGAGATGTTAAGAGACGCGGGTTTGATCCCTGGGTCCTGGGGGAGGGCATGGCAACCTACTGCAGTGTTCTTGCCTGGAGAATCCCATGGACAGAGGAGCCTGGCGGGCTGCAGTCCATGGGGCCGCAAAGAGTCAGACATGACTGAGTGACTGATCACACACACAATGAAGTAGAATATTCTAGTCATAAAGTAACAGGTGGGATCCTTGGAAATCTCCTGTGCAATGAGATTGGGGAAGAATTTTGGTATGTGTAAAATATTCCATCGTGAGGACGCTCTACCACACGGTGGGCCCCACGTCAGCCGCTGGGTTGGGCTTCGGTGTTCCCGGGTTGGGTCACTGTGTCAGGCCTGGGGGTCGTGGGCAGCGGGGGTGAGTCACAAGTCCCTGCAATAGCACGTCCTTCACTGAGATTCATAACTCAGGGTCTGATGTGAAGTTCTAGATGAACTGGGTTTTGTGGTTCAAAGTATATGAGAGCACTGGGATATTTAAAATTGATTTTTGGAAGTAGCCAAGTAAATGTTTTTCAAATTCTAAAGTGATTCTAGGTTGAGTTTAGCCTAAAATACAATTTTACAGAGTAAAGTAGAGAGACCCAGACATGAAATGGCAATGCTGGAGTAACCAATCAGAGATGTGTTTTTTTTAGTAGGTACTTCCTTTTCCTGATATTTAGAGGAAATGTGAAATGGTCCCCATTTTCCTTAGTAAAATACTTTGAGGTGCTAGGGTTGGAATCAGTGTCTCTGTAACATGTAAGAAGGGGCCCTTTATTCCCCCGTGGGTCCTCCGGGGTATCTTTTCCTCAGCAAGTGGCTTTTATTTAGGTCTGCTGCAGCGGTTGATTTCAAGTCATTAAGACATCCTGGGGCCAGGGTATTGTGGGGGAGAGCGTCCTCTTAGGTACAGAATCTAGAAACAGGATACATGGTACTAGGGGCTCAGAGGTGTTTTTGATGTCTGACTCAGTCTGGCTGAAGCCCACGTGGCTGGGCTTCCGGCTGTGTTCAGAGGCTTGAGACTGCAGGTGGGCTGCCTGATCCGAACGTGGGTGTGTCCTGCCTGCTCTCCTACAAGTGCGGCCGGGGCGGGGGTGGGAAGTGCCACAGGCAGAAAGGTGAACGTCTGCAGCCACGTGGGGGCGGGCGGGTCAGTGCGGTCACTAATCGTCAGCCATGCATTTACTGAAATGGCTGGCACACTCAGCCGTTTAAATGAAAGACATTATTGCAGGTCAGCTATTACTGCACCTGAAGCGAGAGCCCACTGTTTGGCAAAGACTGATGCTGCAAAGACTGACAGCAGGTGAAGGGGGCGGCAGAGGATGAAACGATTAGCTAGCATCATCGACTCAATGGACATGAACTTGAGTTCAGTGGACACCACACTCTGGGAGATGGTCATGGACAGAGAAGCCTGGAGTGGTGCAGTCCATGGGGTCGCAAAGAGTCAGACGTGACTCAGCGACCAAACGAAACAACACTGCACGTGCTACTTGAAGTCACTGGCCAGCGGGGTGTAATGTGCGGCTCGCCCTGCACCCCAGGTATTAGCGGTATTAGTTCTTCCTGAATAGCAGGCCTCTGGAGCCCAGGCTTCCGGTCCTTGGATATTCTCTACCCCTTCTTGCTTCAGCCCTCAGTCAGTAAATCACACACTATTTCTCCATCTAACTAACAGCCTAAGATAGAACACTGTCAAACAAGTTTATTCTTAAATCACATCACAGAGGGAACATTTTAAGAAAATGGAGCTGACTCCCCCCCCACCCCCTCCCCTTTTGAATGACCATCATAAACCTAAACGCTTTAGAAAGAGCTCTCGAAAGACTAAGAATTGTTTCAGGATAATTTTGCTTCAGTAAATCCTCTCTATATTCAGGCTTTTATTAGGCCATTCCTTGTTCTGGAGGACAGGTCATCCTGGCAGCTCATTAACAGGATAAACAGGGCTTTGGTAAAAAATTTTCTTGAGGCTTTGCGGGGACAAAGTTCTTTGGCTTTTGTACTTGCAGACCTGAGACGGGGACTGATGTTAGCTGAGACTGCCCCTCCCCGCCCCCAAGTCACTTGTATTTTTCCCCTACTGTCCCCCACACAAGCAACGAGGCTGCCGGCGGCGTCCCACACACCTCGGCATCTCTGGGGGACCTGAGGTTTACTGGTCCTTTCACAACCTGACAGGCTGATGGCAGCTCTCGACAGAGCATGCATTTCACGGAGCTGAGGCTGCAAGGTCTCTGCTCCTTGGGGTGGCAGCTGACTTCTTACTGGGACACGTCTAGAGAAGGCCCACCTGTAACAAGGCCCCACTCTGCCCTGCAGATATTTTAGAAGAGGGAACTTGGTGGTGATGATGATATTTAAATGAGCTTGGCTAAGATGCTTGACTAACGGAGGCAGAGAGATTTCAATCAGATGCTTTCCATATGACCATCAGGGATCAAGCACTGCTCACAAATAGTCCATGAATGCATTTGTCTAAAATCTGCTGGAGAGACATGGCAGCAATCTATGTGCTACTTTTGGTAGTGGAAAATGATGGCCTTTCAGTTAGATTTAGCGTTCTTTTTTCCCCCAAATAGCCACTATGTAGGAGCCATGAAATGATGCTGCTAAACTCAACAGACATGAAAAATACAATATAGGTTTTGGGTCCTGGTCATAAGCTATGTACTGAATGAGCCAACTCAAAGCTTTAGGAGGGTGTTTACCTGAAAAAAATCCATAGTCTTCTTCCAGATTCTAATTATAAAAAAGGAGGCCGGAGCTCAGCTAAAACATACCTACCTTGGTATAAATAATGACAACTTTTTTCCCCCAGAGCCCAGAGGTTGGTAGCACCCACCAATCATAGGAAAGGGCCCCTGCAAAAGGCAATCTTTTTTCTTTTTTCTGGCTATGAGACTTGGGAGATCTTAGTTCCCTGACCAGGGGTTGAACCCACACCTCCTGCAGTGGAAGCATGGTCTTAACCCCTGGATTGCCAGGGAAGTCCCTGGCCATTAATTTAGTTTTATAAATTTAATGAACTTTTACTGAGACCTGATTCTGTGCCTGGTAGCACGCTAAGCACTGAGGCTGCCAGTCCTTGCCTCCCACCAGAACCAGCCAGCCAACCTCCTCCTCAACCAGAGCACATGCTCTGTACCTGAGCAGGTCCGCCGGGGAAGCCCGTCTTCCAGCTCGCCCCTCTCCCGGCCTACAGGTGTGTGCATTCCAGTGACAGATGGCGATTGCTTCACCTGTGGCGCACTCATCCATTTTAATGAGATTTCCCCCCGAATAGCGGACCACCAGACTGAATTCACACTCATGCAAAAATGCATTTAAAATTATATTTCAGTGAAGCCCTTTTTACAAGTAGAGCCATACGTTGTGGATTTCTTAGGGTGTTACATAAACATGTATTTCAAATCTCTAGTCAGGTTCCAAGTAAGTGATCAGCTGTGCTTTTTTTTTTTTCCTACTAGCAGTTATAACAACATAATCTGATTTTTAGGATTTCGGAAGTGGGCATTCAAGTTAACGGGCAGTTGGCAGAGCTCGATGATAATCAGCATTGGAGAGATTCAGTGCTTTGTGTTAAACTGAGGTAACTGGTCTATAACACTGTATATTTCATGTGGATGACATATTTCTGCTTCACTATACATTACAGTGTGTTCACCACCAAGGGCTATTTCTGTCTGCCACCATACAGTTGACCCCCTTTTACCCATTTCCTTCTCTCTCTGCCCCTGCACCGTCACCCCAGCAATAGCATTTTTCTCCGAAATGATCAGTCCATAATACAGTTTACATATGACATGATATTATTGGTAAATGGTCTTTATTCAGCTGTCCCCGCCCCTCCCCAGTCCCATTTAAGTCAGCCCTTGATTTAAAATGGTCTGCACAGGTTGGCTAGTGTTTCCTGTAAAGTCTGATGACCAAGAAGCCATATCTTTGGTGAAAATGGAGGTTGGAAAACAAAACTGAACTCTTACCATTTCTTACAAAATCATGATGCTGCCAGATTCCAGTCTCAGGAGCAAAGGGGTTGGGGACTGGCTCTGACTTTCCGTCTTGAAAAGCGGTTTGATGAACACAGTTTACTGTCAGGCCCAGTGGTTTTCAGAACTGTTAATAGGACGTGTAAGGGGCACGGCTTCCTGGGTGATGTCACATGTTCTCAACACTTCTGCGTCACTCATTGTTTACAAAGTAGAACCTCACCTCTTCATGCCTGTCTGAAATAAACCAGATGGCTGCTTTCCTTCCTGTCCCTGCTCTTCTGGCTGGGGAGAAGGACAGTGCTCCCGTTACTCCCAGTTAGGGAAGTCCTGCGCCAGCGTCCACAACCAGAACCGTGAACAGCTGAGGTGCAGGTGGGGGTCCCCGCTGCCTCCGGAGCACCACTTGCGATGAAGACATTTGTCCTCTTCTCAGTACAGACAGAACTCAGTGTAAAGTCGGGGCTGCCCACGATTTTGTCCTCTTATGTCAGCTTATTTGACAGGTGCTTTTAAAAATCAGCACTCGCAAATGTGGTCTTTCGCGCCGAGTCAGAGGTAACAAAGGCACGCAGGGAACAAAGGGGTCCCCCATGTGGCAGAGAAACCACCACTATTACTGTCAGGGGAGCGGGGGGAGGGCGACCCTGCCTCCAGGGAGGTGCTGTTAACTGGACCACAGAGACCGCTACAGGCCACAGTTTCCATTTACTAGTTTGTCCTCTTATTCTTCCCAGGCAAAACAAATCAGTTTAATGTTACAGCTTTTTTATCTCCTTATCAAACTTTTGGCCTGAGGGTGGGGAGGGGGAGTTATCAGTCAACTGCACAATCTTTGACATATAAGTTAATTTTTTATGTTGATATTTCAGTATATATTTTATTCATTAAATTTATTTGAAAACTGATGCTGTCTTTTTTATGGAGGAGAAAAAAATCACTTATGCTCAGATCTCTGCTTTCTGGGATCCCAGAGCACTGAATGAGCGACATCAGATTTACTCAGTGGATGGGAGAATACCACTACTTTCTGGTTATTAATACCCTCCTCCCCCACCATGAGAGCTCCCCTAAACAAAACACTGCCTCCGTCTTTCTCCATCACTGCCCATCCCCGGCACCTAGAACAGTGCTGGGCCCAGAGGACCTGCTTACAAATGGATGAGGGCCCTGCAGAATGAGATGTTCTTCGAGGATGCTATAGCATCTCAAAGAGTGTGTGTGCTCAGCATCACTGCGTTTCTCACCATCGCGGCACCTCTCCTGGCACCCTGCGATGTCCACGAAGCCTTCTGTGGAGGTGGCATCTCAAGGCGCAGGTGGGCAGGGCTGTCTGGCTGGGCCCGGGACATCAGCTTGCACAGGCTCCGGCCGGGCCTCGGCAGGGAGACCCGAACCCGTCAGGACGACAGCTGCCTCTCCAGCACCTCCTTGATCGCTGTCGGATCTGCTCGGCCCAGAGTCGCTTTTCGGACCAACCCGATCAGTTTGTTTATAGCTCTGGGGTTTCCCTTCTTTAGATCCATTACCTTTAAAAACAGAAATTATTTTAGAGGGGAAAACAGAGATTCTTGCCTAAAAAAATCCTAAATCAAGTTTGGGTTTACTGAAACAAATTTAGTTTCCTGAATTAGATACAAAATGAGACGAGGACAATGGGGAGCGGTGGCCTTTGGAGGAGGCTTCTGGGCTCCCGGCAGAGGCGGCACCAGCCTCCTGGTTAGAAGGCGCGAGGAGGGCTGCGGGGCGTCACAGCTGAGCCTCGGTGCTCAGTGCCGGATCGTGAGGACGCCCCCCGCCAAACCCTTCAGGCATTCAGTGGGCCCTCCCCCAGCCTCCTGCCAAGAAGCTCATTTGCTAGAAGACAAATCCACGAGAGGGCAACGCTCCCCAAGCATCCGGGTGGGGGTGCCGGGCGGGCAGGCAGGGGCGCTGAGTGCTGTCAGCCAGCCACCGGGTCAGGTCGCCCGCCTGACCTGCCCCGATCAGCCCGGCGCCTGCGTGGAGCTGCGCACACTGCCGCAGACTGAGTCTGAAAGGGGAAGTGTCTTTATCAGCCACTCCAGATGAGGCCGGGAGATGGAGACTGCCGAGACCCCGTGCAGGCTCATTTTCTTTATCGAGAGCTCTTCACAGGCTGTTAGTGTCCCTGCAAGCTGATGAGTGGGTGGCATCCTTCTGAAAGGGACGGTAGCACTTTTTCCCCCACTTAAAAGAATCTCTGCACAATGATTAGATTGGGGGGGGGGGAGATTCACCTCATTTTAGCTTTTTTCTATTTTGTTCTCTGCTCACAACACAAAATGATTTCCAGCTCTGTTCCCGTGAAGGACTTTCTCCATAATTTACAAATAATTTTCAAACTTTGTCTTTCCTCCCACCTCTCCAAGGCAGAGAACTGAAGTGTCTGCCCCCGTGCAGGCAGTGCCGCCTGCTGCTTTCTGATAAACAGGTGGGGACCCTGTGAAAGAGCCCCCCATCACGGGAGGTGGACAGTGGCTGATTCCCCCTTCCACCGGGATGCCATGAGACTCCACTGCAGGGGTGGATCTTCCTCCTAGGAAAAGCTGTATTTTTCCAGTGTTCACCTAATTGCATCTCTTGACGTTAGCTAAAAACTGAGAAAAATAATTGGAGGATTACAGATGAAACTGGGCTAGCCGTTGTTAGGAAGCTCCTCTGGACTGCTGGGGGAGAGCGGCAGAGGCGCCGGGGTGAGCCTCAGGCGACCCTCCGCCCGAAGCCACTGCGCCTGCGTGACCACCCCTCCCCGCGGGCCGCGTACCACGTCGGGATGCGCCTCCAGCGTGGAGCTGCAGAGCCGCTCCAGGGCCTCCGGATCCTGCAGCAGTTCCAGCTTCTTTTCGGCAACGATCTGTGCTGGGGTCTTGCCTTCATTCCTCCAGAGTTCCTCAAACACCTGTTGGGGGGAGGGGGTGGAGAGAGGAGGGGTCAGCTCTCTGCCAGCTCCACTTGCTGGGGCAGGAGGACGGGTCGGTGAGTTCCAGCCACGCGCAGACACTGAGCCCGGGACCACGCTGGCAGAGACGGAGATGGGTCATCCGCGCTGGCGGACTCCGTGATTCCTCACAGGGCCCTGCTGACACGAATTCCACTGGATGAATGAGCGGAGGGGACATGTTGGCTCATAACAGAAATCACCTGCACGGCCTTCTTTTAAGCATCTCTGCAGCACCCCTTTCCTGGGAAGCAGGCGTGGATACTGCATGCAGCCGGGGCCTGGCAGCTGAATGCCTGGCGGTCATGGGCTGCTGCAGCCACTGAGGCTCAAAGTGCACAGCCGCCTGAGCTTACCGCCCAGGCTCAGCCTGGCTGCCTGGCACCCAGTACAGCTGGGACCCAGCAGGCCCCACCCTGGCTGGGTCTGCCTGGGCCAAAATAGCCAGAGTAGAGGCAGCTCGGGGATCATGGCCAAAATACAGCATCAGAACAAGGCTGGGAAGATGCTTTTAAATGCAGAGAGGCCGGCTGCTCCCGGAGTGGGTGGTGGGCTAGAGCTGGGGTGAGGACCAAGTGACCCAGGGACGCACACCCCTCGGGGGCCTCCAGGAGCAAATGCCAGGGGGCCGCAGTGTTCTCCACGCCAGAGTTAAGAATGCATCAGCTTATTAGCTGTCCGAATCAATCAAGTGGCGCCCAGCTCCAGCCCCCGTGAGCCGACACAGTGGGTTCCAGAATCCAGTCCTCTGCTCCTTCCTATTTAAGACAGAGACTGCACTCCTGGCTGGAGTCGAGCAGGGCGGGAGCCTCTGAAGGCGGCCCAGGCCAGACTCCGCGGGCTCCCCTCGCCCCCTTGCTGCAGTCATCCTGGCTCCGGGGTTGCCAGCCCCGTGCTGCAGCACCGATCCTCAGCTTTTGTCCGAGTTTGATCTCCACCCTGGGAAGCACTATGGAAGCGCAATTGTTTCCGGCCGGGTGTGTCGCTCCTAGGCTTGCTGCTGTCCATCCAAGACAAACCGTCACAAGGGGTTCCTACCAGCAGAGTGGGGAATGCAGCTGGGGACCCCTGAGCACACCCTGCCCACCAGAGCCAGCTCTGACACATGCGGCAGAAACCCAGCCTTCAGTTCCTGTGTGTCAAGCACACAGCCTTCTAACCACCACCCGACTGTCTCGCTAGCTAGTTAGTTTTAAAGGGTCTGCAGGGAAGGCCAGGAGAGCACACAGCCCCCTGACCTGCCCCCACCTGTTTGGGTTTCCAGGGTCAGAGTGTGGGGGGAAGACCTGTTCCAGCGGGGGTGGCGACAGACAAGACAGAGAGGGTGCCCCCTGGGCAGAGGTAAGAGTCATGAAAGTCTTTCTCCCAGAAAGGCACGGACATCAGTGTGGGCCTCTAAGAGAAGCAGGCCCAGGAGAACACCCAAAGAACTGACCCACCAAAAAGGGAGCAAGACATCAGATCACTTGAAAATTTACTGCATGCTATAACGTTTTCTGCATTAAAAGGTTTCTGGTGATTTGTTTAGAAGCAGACCTCTGAGAAGCCGAGTGGAAACGGCTTACACGGCACGCTAAGGTGACAACCCCTGGGGGCCAGAGGGCCATGTGCCCCTCCTTCAGGCTCGCATGGTGAAGACATGCATGCATCTGGGGTGCTCGCTCTCGGGGCCTGGCTGGCCAGCAGCCTATGCAACACGGAGGGCCGCTGAGTCCCCGGAGGCTCGGGACCTTAGTCTGCCAGCCGCAGCGGGCTTATGGCTCTGCAGGTGGGGTTTGGTGGGCCCTGTCCTTGGCAAGGACAGGAGACGGGGCTCCGTCAGTAGACAGAAATGGATCCTGTGAGAGGAGAGCCCAGGTGCTTTTGTCTGCAGTTACCAGAAGTTGCTCAGGGTGATAAGCAAGCTTTGAGTTTCTGTTGCCCTCCTAACTCTTCGGTGCCGGGGGAGCTAAGGGGAGGAGGTTTGTAAGTCTCAGAAGCACTGCTGGGACACCTGGGGGGAAGGGGCAGTGGAACGTGTCAGGGATGAAAATAATGGGTGATGATGGAAGGGAGAGCCAGGTGGTGAAAGATGGATTAATAATAAATTCGACATAAAGTGGGAGTCTTTGGAGTCCAGAACTTTCTCAATGCAGGATGACTCCTGCTTATCTGTCATTCTGAGTAGTCATCCTGAGTCAACTTTTTTCCCCATCTGCCAGTTATCCAATCCACTTCTGTCAGAGGCAACACAAATAACCCATGGAACCAGATTCTTTCTGCCTTACAGGCTTGCTAAAACCTAAGGCCTCCTTGGATTTCTCTGCTAAATTCAGTAAAAATTAACTGTAACACATTTTCTACTGTAAAATGTAACACATTTTATAGTACACTATAAAAATAAGACAAAAAGATGCTTGATATAATTAGTCAAAAGGGGAATGCAAATCAAAGCCACCCTGAGCTACTGCCTTGCACCTACTAGGATAACTAGTCAGAGAGGACAGTTACACTGTGGGTGGGGACGTGGAGGGCTGCAATCATCCCACACTGCTGACTGGACTGTGAAACGGGGTGGCCTGTCAGAAAACGGTCTGGCAGGTCCTCAAGGTGTAAAGCACACAATTACCACGTGATCCAGAGATTCCATTCCTGTAGGTACAGCCCCAAGAACTTTGAAGACGCGTACCAACAAAATCCTGTACACGCATGTTCACAGCAGTGTTATTCAAAAGAGCCCCAAATGGGAACCAACACAAGTGTTCCACTAACTGATGAATGGCAGACAAAATGTGGTTCCGTCCACACAATGGAATAGTCTTTAGGCATAAAAAGGCAGGAACAGACCTTCCTGGTGGTCCAGTGGCTAAGACTCTATGCGCCCAATGGAGGCCTGGGTTCGGTCTCCGGTCAGGGAATTAGATCCCTCCTGCCACAACTAAAGATCCCATATGCCGCAACTAAGACTTGGTGCAGCCAGATAAATAAATAAAAATAAACAAATATTTAAAAAAAAAAACCTAAGAAAGGCATGAAGTACAGGCATGACGTAGATGGTTTGGAAAACATCATACTAGGTGAAAGAAGCCAGACATGAGCGGTCTATACACTGTAAGAGTCCATTTACCTTACATGTCCGGAATAGGAAAATAAACAGAGACAGACAGCAGATCAGTAGTTGCCTAGAGTGAGGGGTTAATGGGGAGAGACTGCAAATTGAGCACAGGGTTTGTTTTGGGGGTGATGAAAATCTTCTGAAATTCGACAGTGGTGATGGTTATCCATCCTTGTGACAAGACTAGAAACCAATGAACTGTACACCTCTTCAAAAATAAAGCTGGACTTCCCTAGTGGTCCAGTGTTGGGAATCTGATTGCCGATGCAGGGGCCATGGGTTCCATCCCTGGGAAGGGAAGATCCCACACGCCGTGGGGCAGCTGACGCTGTGCTCCGCAACGAGAGAAGCCACGCAACGAGAGAAGCCACGCATAGCAAGCGAGACCCAACTCAACTCAGAATAAACAAGCAGAACTAAGGAACAGTACATGAAAACCTCTTATTTTCAAAAGTCTTATTTTTCTTAACCCACCATCTGCACATCCCATAATCCAGCCTTCCAATGGTCTCTCTGCATGGAAATCTGCCTGGGATGATGTTCACCCAATACTAACAGTAGTTAATTTAAGGTGGTAGAATTGGAAAATTACTTAAGTTTTTATAATGAAAAAGAATACCATTTTTCCCACCAAAAAAATCAGTTATTTTTTTAAAAAACATAAAGTAGAAAAATCAAAAGGCAAACCTCCCAAGGCAACAGTGTATAAGGGAGAGTCCCTCATGTGACACACACTGACGGCCTTGCTAATAAGACTTTTATTTTGATTCTATAGTTGCCTCATAGAAGCCAGTATCCACCCCTACTTCCTTTAAACACACCAGAAGCGAAGAGAATCCAAAAATGTCTCTTATCTGTACTGACCCCAGCTGTCAGCAGCCCCTGCAGTTCCCAGCTCTGTCCTGAAACTCACACATTCACTGCACCCAGTTTTCTTCACTGGGGCAGGAGGAGTGGGAAGGGGAAGGTCTTTTTCTCTTCGGTTTCAAACGCTACAATCATCTGCCCTCACACGCACACATAGTCTCTTTCTGCCCTCAGGCCATCTCTTCTTTCTGCTGCTGCCAAGCTCCGTCATAAACGTTTGTATTCCTCCGACATCCAGGCAACCAAAAGCCTGCCTGATGCGCCGTGGTTCCTGCACTTGGCAGCCTCGCTTGGTGGTGGGTAAACAGTCTTTATTAGCTCCTGTCCCTGGCTTCCCAGCTCAGGGCAGGGTGTATGCTCCATGGTGCCTTGTAATTAGCCCAAAGCAGCAGCTTTTGCAAAGCCTCACTTTGTAACCTGCCACTACTGAGGACGTGTATAAATATTAGATGCAAAAGGCAGCATTAAAATAACATTAAGTTTCTGGCTGAAGCACTTGACAGCTGTGAGATCTGAAGTTGAGATCAGGCGGCCGCCTTGGTGCTCTTTATCCTTCTGGGTGCTTATTTGTAAGCGTTTTCTGAGTTCCAGGAACCTTGGGCCTACCTGAGACTGTCTGGCGGGGGTGGAGATGAGGCGGAAGGCCACCTCTGACAGTGATGCTATTCTTTTCTGGGTCTTCACACATCAGGCATGCATGCAGACTTTGATCTATGTAGTGGAAAGTGGTCTGTCTGACCGCACCCTTCCTGCCGAAGACTGACTTTCAGGGGTGACCATGTGAGCCCTGGTACTAGGTGGGAGGCTGCGGAGTACGGGAGAGGGGGGACGAGGTCGGGGAGCAGCACTGGCCACCCCGGGCACAGGGCACGCTCGCCGTCCAAGCCCCCGGGGGGTGCAGGGCCCCACCTCTCATAAACACATGTTTGGGAAATATTCCAGGCAAGGCCTGGTTAACAAAGATGAAAAGCACATTACCTCTGTCGCACATGTGATAAGCTTTATTTCATTTGCTACATAAACTGTTCCTACCTCTCAGTATAAAAACAGCACCCAGCGACTTCTCTAAAAACAGCACTTAGACAGTTCCCTGGTGGTCCAGTGGTTAAAAGTCCTCCTGCCCAAAGGAATCCGTAAATGAGATGAACAGACAACCTTCAGAATGGGAGAAAATAACTGCAAATGAAGCAATGGACAAAGGATTAATCTCCAAAATATAAAGCAGCTCATGGAGCTCAGTATCAGAAAACAAACAACCCAATCAAAAAATGGGCAGAAGACCTAAACAGACATTTCTCCAAAGAAGATGTACAGATGGCTAATAAACACATGAAAAAATGCTCAACATCGTTTATTATTAGAGAATGTAAATCAAAACTAAAATGAGGTATCACCTCACACCAGTGAGAATGGCCATCACCAAAAAATCTACAGACAATAAATGCTGGAGAGGGTGTGGAGAAAACGGAACCCTTTTGCCAACTGTTGGTAGGAAAGCAAATTGCTAACAGTCACTATGGAGAACAGTATGGAGATGCCTTTAAAAATTAGGAAAAAAACTACCATATAACCCAGAAACCCCATTACTAGTATCAGTTCAGTTCAGTCGCTCAGTCCTGTCCGACTCTTTGCGACCCCATGAACTGCAGCACGCCAGGCCTCCCTGTCTATCACCAATTCCCAGAGTTTACTCAAACTCATGTCCACTGAGTCGGTGATGCCATCTAGCCATCTCATCCTCTGTCTTCCCCTTCTCCTCATGCCCTCTATCTTTCCCAGCATCAGGGTCTTTTCAAGTGAGTCAGCTCTTCACATCAGGTGGCCAAAGGATTGGAGTTTCAGCTTCAGCATCAGTCCTTCCAATGAACACCCAGGACTGATCTCCTTTAGGATGGACAGGTTGGATCTCCTCGCAGTCCAAGGGACTCTCAAGAGTCATCCACACCACAATTCAAAAGCATCAATTCTTCAGCACTCAGCTTTCTTTTTTGTCCAACTCTCACATCCATACATGACCACTGGAAAAACCATAGCCTTGACTAGATGGACCTTTGTTGACAAAGTAATGTCTCTGCTTTTTAATATGCTATCTAGTTTGGTCATAACTTTCCTTCCAAGGAGTAAGCGTCTTTTAATTTCATGGCTGCAGAAACCAAATGCAGAGATTTTGGAGCCTCCAAAAATAAAGTCAGCCACTGTTTCCCCATCTATTTGCCATGAAGTGACAGGACCGGATGCCATGATCTTAGTTCTCTGAATGTTGAGCTTTAAGCCAACTTTTTCACTCTCCTCTTTCACTTTCATCAAGAGGCTCTTTAGTTCTTCTTCACTTTCTGCCATAAGGGTGGTGTCACCTGCATATCTGAGGTTATTGATATTTCTCCCAGCAATCCTGAGTCCAGTTTGTGCTTCCTCCAGCCCAGCGTTTCTCATGATGTACTCTGCATATAAGTTAAATAACCAGGGTGACAATATACAGCCTTGACATACTCCTTTCCTATTTGGAACCAGTCTGCTGTTCCATGTCCAGTTCTAACTGTTGCTTCCTGACCTGCATATAGATTTCTCAAGAGACAGGTCAGGTGGGCTGGTATTCCCATGTCTTTCAGAATTTTCCACAGTTTACTGTGATCCACACAGTCAAAGGCATTGGCATAGTCAATAAAGCAGAAATAGATGTTTTTCTGGAACTCTCTTACTTTTTCGATGATCCAGCGGATGTTGGCAGTTTGATCTCTGGTTCCTCTGCCTTTTCTAAATCCAGCTTGAACATCTGGAAGTTCATGGTTCACATATTGCTGAAGCCTGGCTTGGAGAATTTTGAGCATTACTTTACTAGAGTGTGAGATGAGTGCAATTGTGCCATAGTTTGAGCATTCTTTGGCATTGCCTTTCTTTGGGATTGGAATGAAAACTGACCTTTTCCAGTCCTGTGGCCACTGCTGAGTTTTCCAAATTTGCTGGCATATTGAGTGCAGCACTTTCATAGCATCATCTTTCAGGATTTGAAATAGCTCAACTGGCATTCCTTCATGTCCACTAACTTTGTTCATAGTGATGTGTCCTAAGGCTCACTTGACTTCACATCCCAGGATGTCTGGCTCTAGGTGAGTGATAACACCATCATAATTATCTGGGTCGTGAAGATCTTTTTTGTACAGTTCTTCTGTGTATTCTTGCCACCTCTTCTTAATATAGTTTGCTTCTGTTAGGTCCATACCATTTCTGTCCTTTTTTGTGCCCATCTTTACATGAAATGTTCACTTGGTATCTCTAATTTTCTTGAAGAGATCTCTAGTCTTTCCCATTCTATTGTTTTCTTCTATTTCTTTGAATTGATTGCTGAGGAAGGCTTTCTTATCTCTCCTTGCTCTTCTTTGGAACTCTGCATTCAAATGGGACTATCTTTCCTTTTCTCCTTTGTTTTTCATTTTTCTTTTCACAGCTATTTGTAAGGCCTCCTCAGGCAGCCATTTTGCCTTTTTCATTTCTTTTTCTTGGGGGTTGCCTTGCTCTCTGTCTCCTGTACAGTGTTACAAACCTCCATCCATAGCTCATCAGGCACTCTGTCTATCAGATCTAGTCCCTTAAATCTATTTCTCACTTCCACTGTATAATCATAAAGGATTTGATTTAGGTCACACCTGAACGGTCCTTTCGTTTCCCTACTTTCTTCAATTTCAGTCTGAATTTGGCAATAAGGAGTTCATGATCTGAGTCAGTCAGCTGCTTGTCTTGCTTTTGCTGACTGTATAGAGCTTCTCCATCTTTGGATGCAAAGAATATAATCAATCTGATTTCAGTGTTGGCCATCTGGTTATGTCCATGGGTAGAGTCTTCTCTTGTGTTGTTGGAAGAGGGTGTTTGCTATGACCAGTGCGTTCTCTTGGTAAAACTCTTATTAGCCTTTGCCCTGCTTCATTCTGTACTCCAAGGCCAACTTTGCCTGTTACTCCAGGTGTTTCCTGACTTCCTACTTCTGCATTCCAGTCCCCAATAATGAAAAGGACATCTTTTTGGGGTGTTCGTTCTAAAAGGTCTTGTAGGTCTTCATAGAACCGTTCAACTTCAGCTCCTTCAGAGTTACTCGTTGGGGCATAGACTTGGATTACCATGATATTGAATGGTTTGCCTTGGAAACGAACAGAGATCATTCTGTCGTTTTTGAGGTCGCATCAAGTACTGCATTTCAGACTCTTTTGTTGACCATGATGGCTACTCCATTTCTTCTAAGGGATTCCTGCCCACAGTAGTAGATATAATGGCCATCTGAGTTAAAACTCACCCATTCCAGTCCATCTTAGTTCTCTGATTCCTAGAATGTTGACGTTCATTCTTGCCATCTCCTGTTTGACCACTTCCAATTTGCCTTGATTCATGGACCTAACATTCCAGGTTCCTATGCAATATTGCTCTTTACAGCAATAAAGAGCTTGCTTCTATCACCAGTCACATCCACAAGTGGGTGTTGTTTTTGCTTTGGCTCCATCCCTTCATTCTTTCTGGAGTTATTTTTCCGGTGATCTCCAGTAGCATACTGGGCACCTACCGACCTGGGGAGTTCCTCTTTCAGTGTCCTATCTTTTTGCCTTTCATACTGTACTGCTAGTGCATACTCTTGAGAAAACCAAAATTCTAAAAAACACATGTTCTCCAATGTTCACTGCAGCACTATTTACAACAGACAGAACTTGGAAATACTGTAGATGCTAGCTGTCCATTGACAGATGAATGGATTAAAGAAGTTGTGGTACATATACACAATGGAATATTACTCAGCTATAAAAAGGAATGACTTTGAGTTAGTTCTAATAAGGTAGATAAATGTAGAGCCCATTACACACAGTGAAGTAAGTCAGAAAGAGGAAAGACGAGTACTGTATATTAAGGGATATGTATGCAACCTAGAAAGATGGTACCGATGAACCTGTTTGCGGGGCAGCAAATGAGACACAGACGCGCACGTGCACCTACGGGGGGGACACACGTATACGTACCCACGCTGATGTACGGCAGAAACCAGCACAATACTGCAAAGCAGTTACCCTTCAATTAAAGAGAAATACATTGAAAGAAAGAGAGCGTGCCTGCTCATGTAGGGGACACAGGTTCAATCCCTGGTGTGGAAAGATCCCACATGCCGTGGGGCACTAAGCCTGTGGGCCACAAGTACTGAAGATGTGTGCGCAGAGCCTGTGCCCTGCCATGAACAGAAGCCCCCGCTCGCTGCAGCTAGAGACCCAGCACAGCCAAAAATAATACACAGATAATTAACATAAAAAGTGCTGAGGACATTACCTCTAAAAACAAAGCAATAAACGAAGAAACAAAAACACCCGCCCCCTCAAACAGCACTTAGAAGCGTTTATTACAATACTTCCGTGATGAAATCCAGCTAGTGTGGAGCTTCACGTGAAGCCTGTACTGGGCCGGCAGGGTGGCCGGGCTCCTCAAGAGGTGTGGACATACCTGCTTGGCTGCAGATGAAGAGATGGCCTTCCTGTCCAGAAGGTCCAGCAACTCAGCCAGGGCGGAGGGCGTGACAGGACTGGCACCCCAAAGGAGAGAAAAGAGCGTGTCACTGCACTGTGTCAGCATGTGCACTCACGGCTACTCAAGATCAAGGCACGTGACTCTGCAGGTCTGAAATCCCCACCCAGGAAGGACAGTAACAGGCCAACTGGGCTCCATGTTACTTATTATTTTGTATTTCAGGCCACAACACATTTTTGTGACTAGTGTTGTTTTCCTTTATTTTACTACCCAACAGTAACCGCTGTTTGGCAGAAGTTGTAGCAACAGACAACTGCTCAGTTTAATTAGTCAAGAAAAGGAGGTGGCTGAAAAATTCATGAACCATGGTGAGAAGAGAAAAAAGAAAGAAAAAAAAAAAACAGTAATTAAATATTTTCGACTGAAAGATCAGCCTAAAAATTACTTCAAACGAAACAGCTAACAAAGCTAGTTTTGGAGTGTTTTTGTGCAAATATAAATTCTTTTTTCACTGTAAGAGTTTTCCTTTCGGGGTGCAGTGACTACCAGCCATACTACTGGGTGTCCGCATGGGCACCACACACTCGGCTCTCTCCTGCAGGCTCTCAAGAGTTTTCTGGACACACCAGGGTCCAGAAGTCATTATATCTACACTTCCAGGAAGTGACTCATTTCCAAGGAGCCCATGATGTAAAAGGCCAGGAGGCAACTGGACACGTGAAGTGTCATCAATTCACATTTAGAGGTGGGGGTGGTGAGTGCCTAGGTTAGTGGAGATATTGAATTACAGGCTATTTCTATTAAAATACATTGTCTTCCTACTTTTAAACACACACAGCAACTAGGTTAATGAAACGCTGTCTGAGGTCACAAGGGCACCGGTTTTAAATAGGCTGGAATGCCTCATAAATAGCACATTACTGTGAGTGCGCAAACAAAAGCTTCTGGAGTGCTCAGCGAGACCTGACAGACTTGACTTCTGTTTAAGTCTCAGCTCCCATCACGCGATGCTAATTTCCTCATTATGCTCTTGGATATTTCCTGGGACTCCAGGCCAACCGAGCACAAGTTCACCAGGTCCAACTCAGGTACCATGAGGCCTCACAGCGTTGTTCACACAAGACAGAGACAGAGACCCCGCTGTTGTGCAAGTGTCTGCTCATTCCAAAGAAAGGAGAAGAGGAAACTCCTAGAGGACGTGCGGCTTGGAGAGAGTCTGGTATCGGGAGTAGCTGTAAACCCCGTAATCACATCTCAGCAGGATGAGGGGGAGAGGGCTGGGAGAGCAACAGATGCCTCTTCTCTAACCTGCCACCCTTACTGACAAGTAATAAAGAATCCAGGTTGCTTTAAAAATTCGGGTTTCTTGGATGTACTACCATCCTAGTCGACATAAAGGCCAATTAGAGTGCAGACCATAATGAGCACCGAGGTTGAACTAGATTTCTCGAGCCTTCAACAGAAAGGGTGCCCATTCCCATGTGAGCTGATGATAAAGGATGTAGGGATGGCGGAGGACAGAAATAGAACCAGCATACTGAAAATACTTCGCCTTTCATCCAATGACCTTAATTCACTATGAAATACCTCCACTGACTTGGGATTTCTGTCACCCTTTTATACCCAGAGGAGGTCAACAGTGTCTGCGTCTCGGACTCCTTCCCTGACAAGGAGGGCTGGGACACTGTGTCAACTCAGTCCAGCTGTGCCAGGCCTGACCTCCAGAAAGATGATGGCCAAGATTGGGACCTGTCACCCTAATCCTCAAAGGCCCGTCCTCAGTTACATAAATAAACCACCTGACTTGGAAAAGAACGGCAGAAGCACACGCTGCTGAGCGGCTGCGGTCAGATGACGTTGGTTTCTGGGCCACGAGTGAGTCTCCGCTGAAGAAAACCCTAACGTGAAAGACAGAAGCCATGAGGGCTGGTCTCCCATCCCCAGCCTGGCCTGCCTATAAGGCAGAGGGGAGAGGCGTCTTTTGAGCCTTCCAACTTCACCTGGTCCCTTAGATCTCTTCCGCGATCACAACTCCATCTCCAGCCTGAATCCTGGAAGCAGACACCCCAACACAGCCACCATGGCTCCTGTGAAATGCGCTGCCCATCGCAATCCACAGGTTCATTTCAGGCCCAAGCCTGCGAGACAGAGGCTCGTGGAGGAAGACAGGGAGGCTCGGGCCCCAGGCACTGCTCAGCAGTCCTGCTCATCTCGCTGATTCCCAGCACCCTGCCTGGTGCCCCCACTGGAGCGGCTGTTCTGGAGTCTCCTTTCTGTGCTCTTTCTCATAACGGACCTCCACCTTCCACATCATAAGGCCCCCAGCTGATGGAAGGCCCAGAATCTTCTAGGGTGCCCTCCGCCGCCTCTTCCACCTAACAGCCCCTCAAGCCCGTGCTCCTGACCCTGTCATTTGGCGCTCCTACAGATCCTCCTCAGATGCCAGGCTCCTGTCTCCTGTGGCTTTGATCCCACACCTTCACGGATGCTCAGATCTTCCTTATCTTAAATGCCTCCAAGTCATCTTGCCGTTACTTGCTTCTGTCTGGCTTCTTACCTTATTTCTCACCGATAAAGAGCATCAGTGGTTACTGTCTGCCCTCCCGAGCACATGTCATCTGGATGCCAATTCTATCCTTCTTAAAAATTCTCCTCCCCTCACTTGTTACCAAACATAACAGCTTCTCTGCACTGCTGCACCCTGCCTCTGGACCACCTTCACCCTCGGGAAAGCCCCTTCTCCTGGGGCCTCCACATTCTCTAGCGAGGAGTGGCCAGGGCTCGTTTCTGCATCCCCTGCCTTCACTGCAGTCTGGCGAAGGAGGAGAGCACGTCTGTCCCCAGGATGGCCACTGCTTTCCTGGCAACGTTCTCCTGCCACCATGCTCAGCTACCTCTCGGGGGTCCCGTCTCCCCACACCACACATCTAAGCCAGGGCTCAGGAAACTTCTTCCAGAAAGAGCTGGGGACCAAATATTTAAGGCTCTGTGGGACACACCAGGTCTCCGTCATGTGCTCTTGGTTTCTGTAAGAGATGGCAAGCATCCTCAGCTCATAGGCTGTATACAGACAGGCTCCCGCCTCCGGCATCCCTTTCTTGGATGCAGCCCCGCACACCACACTGTGGGACTAACCCTCCCACCAGCATCAGTCCCTTCTCAGCTCAAAAGCCCTCGCTGGTCTCCCAGGGCCCCGGGGGCTGCTGCCTGCAGCTGACCTGCAGGTTCAGGGCCTCAGCTGGAGTGAACAACGGAGAGCTACACTGGCCTGGTTCTACCAGGGAATGCTGCATCAGGGGACCAGTAATCTCCACCTTCATAACTAAATCAAACCTGATATTAATGGAGTTATCATCCGAAAAACCTATATACCCAAAATAATGTAAGGGTCAAGTTCAACAAGCACTTTTTGGTGGCTCAGACAGTAAAGAATCTGCCTGCAATGCAGGAGGCCATGGTTCTATTCTTGGGTTGGGAAGATGCCTTGGAGAAGGGCATGGCAACCCACTCCAGTCTTCTTGCCTGGAGAATTCCATGGACAGAGGAGCCTGGTGGGCTGCAGTTCATTGGGTCAGAAAGAATCAGACATGACTAAGCGACTGATGCTTTTCTGGTCAGACCCTTTAAACACCAGTCTTCTGAGAGGTCTTTAAAAATGAACGCTCATTTGCAAACTGAGCTCCAGCCAGCACCACCTCTGGTGTCCCTCGCCTGGTGTCATCATGAGACTACTGACAGCTTTGCAGCTACTGCCCTTCCAGGCTTTGGAAACTCTGGTCCAGGAGCCAGGGTTGCTCATGGGTTAACGTCTGCTCCAAGCTCCTGTTCTACCTAAACTGTAAGGCAGAACTTGCTTAGCTTATACCATCAAGGGTGAAACAGACTGCCAGCCCAGCTTGGATGCATGAGACAAGTGCTCAGGGCTGGGGCACTGGGAAGACCCAGAGGGATGGGATGGGGAGGGAGGTGGGAGGGGGGATCAGGATGGGGAACACATGTAAATCCATGGCTGATTGATGTCAGTGTATGGCGAAAACCACTACAATATTGTAAAATAATTAGTCTCCAACTAATAAAAATAAATGAAAAAAAAATCTGTTAAAGTTCTTATGTTGTTCTAAAATTGATTGCAATGACGGTTGCACATACTGTGATTTAACCAAGTGATTACACTATATACTTTACATGAGCAAGCTGTACAGTATATGAACTATGTACCAATAAGCTATTTTAAAATCTATAATGTACCATTATATTACATGTTAAGTTATAAAATTAAAATAAATAAATAAACTGTAAGGCAGAACTTGCTTAGCTTCATCCTTACTTGACTTTGGAACAACCAAATATACTTTTATTTAGAGTTAGGTGCCCTTGGGGTTCTTAAGTCTGTAATGCTTCAAATTGTTTGGATAAATACCAGGGGCTCCAGGTTCCCTCAACAGGCTAATTTATCAACCTCAGCTCCTGCAGAAGCTCCTAAAATGGTTGTCAGCAAACCCCTCATTTCCCATATCAACATATAAAGAAACTGATCTGAAAGTCAGGGGACGGGCTTCTGGTCTGAGCAGTGGTGCACGTTATTTCCTGGGGCCTGGGTTTCCTTCCCCACTAAACGTGAAGGAGCCAAACCAGAAAGCAGCTAAGGGCTCTGCTGGGACTGAAATTCAGGGACACGAGTAGTCAGCCAACGATGTGGAAAGCCTTATTTAAAGCTAAGAGTTAGATCTCCTCCAACAGCTCAAAGCACTCCTTCCTGGAGCCTCTTGGGCGAACGTGATCTCACCCTCTGCTCCCACTGCAATGCTTCTAGTTCTAACAGGGAAGCGTCCTGTCCACCTTGACCTACAGCGCTGCTGCGCACGTCCATCCTTCCAGGACACGGAGCTCCCTGAGGGCCGGGCCGGGGTCTTGCTCCTCTCCCCACAGCCGGCACTTCACGGCTCAGCTCCTGTGACCCCACGCACCCTCCGTGTGCTGGCTGAGCCCCAAGCACACGCTCAACTGTAATTTCCTGCCGTTCTCTGCCTCGTTCCTCCTGGCTATGCTCCCCGTGGCCCCCAAAGCTGCTGGTTCCCATGCCTGGCCCCCCCCACCATGCCCGTCCCACCCTGGGGCGCAGGGGCAGCTGCGCCTTCTCCCTGGACTCGGCCAGGAGGCTCCAGCCTGCGCTGCCAGGCCCAGGGTGTCAGTGTGGAAACTGGAGTAGAAAGATGAGACTGGGGAGGCCAGGGAGGGAAGAGGAGCAGGTCACAGACGCCACAGGGGTTTGAGGACCTGAGGGGGTTTGGTACTTGACACGCCAGCACGGGAGAGAGGGAAGCCAACGCTGAGGGCCCGCGGGCACCGCACCGTCTCCTCTCAAGAACCCCGGGAGGCAGGCTGGACACCGAGGGGGACTCCCCGAGGTCCCGGCTGGTGAGGGGCCGCCGAGGCGGAGGACGGGAGCCGCGCGGCCTCGCTGGTGCCGGGCGTACACGCTGAGAGCCGGAGGCCGGGTGCGCGCAGGGCAGCGGCTCTGAACTCACAGCTGTTCGGACTTGTGCACCCACACACCCGTCTCCCCCGCTCCGCTCCCAGCCCACGGCTGTGGGTGCTCCCGCAGCAATGACGCCCACCCAGGTGGGTTCTGCTTCCCTTTGGGATCCTGCTGGGTCCCTGCCATCCACCTGGGTGTCCCCGACGAGCCCTCGCACTTAAACCGGCTGCTCCTTCTCTCCTTCCCGACCCTTTCCTTTTCTTCTCTGACACCCACGCTCCTGGTTCTCCCCTTCTTGCCTGCCCATACTCCTTGGGTAAAGTCCAGGGCATCTCAGGCCCCTTCCGCGGCCCCCGGTCAGGCTGTGCCGTCCCTGACAGCTGTTCTCTGCTCCAGCGGCTTCCAGTTCCATCTGCACACTCCAAGCCCACAGTCCACTTATCCCAGCCTGTGCACAGCCTCCCCCTAGGTTCAGCACCGGGGACCCCTTGAGCCATCTATACACGCTGGCCCCCACGCCTGCGCACTCTGATCGCAGGCTGTGGGGTCCACCCCAGTCACCCCCGACTCGGGCCAGCTCAGCTGTCCCTCCCCTTTCTCAGGGAGTATCCTGCCCCTTCCTCTTGGCCACTCCCGCTGGTTCCTCAGGGCCCGGCATCTGAGGGAGCCTCCTTCTCCCTCCTGAGGGCTGATGCCCCGGGCTCAGGGCCGGCCTCTGAGGGAGCCTCCTTCTCCGTCCTGAGGGCTGATGCCCCGGGCTCAGGGCCCGGCCTCTGAGGGAGCCCCCTTCTCCCTCCTGAGGGCTGATGCCCCAGGCTCAGGGCCCGGCCTCTGAGGGAGCCTCGTTCTCCCTCCTGAGGGCTGATGCCCCGGGCTCAGGGCCCGGCCTCTGAGGGAGCCCCCTTCTCCCTCCTGAGGGCTGATGCCCCAGGCTCAGGGCCCGGCCTCTGAGGGAGCCTCGTTCTCCCTCCTGAGGGCTGATGCCCCGGGCTCAGGGCCTGGCCTCTGAGGGAGCCTCGTTCTCCCTCCTGAGGGCTGATGCCCCGGGCTCAGGGCCCGGCCTCTGAGGGAGCCCCCTTCTCCCTCCTGAGGGCTGATGCCCCGGGCTCAGGGCCTGGCCTCTGAGGGAGCCTCGTTCTCCCTCCTGAGGGCTGATGCCCCGGGCTCAGGGCCCGGCCTCTGAGGGAGCCTCGTTCTCCCTCCTGAGGGCTGATGCCCCGGGCTCAGGGCCGGCCTCTGAGGGAGCTTCCTTCTCCCTCCTGAGGGCTGATGCCCCGGGCTCAGGGCCTGGCCTCTGAGGGAGCCTCGTTCTCCCTCCTGAGGGCTGATGCCCCGGGCTCAGGGCCCGGCCTCTGAGGGAGCCTCGTTCTCCCTCCTGAGGGCTGATGCCCCGGGCTCAGGGCCGGCCTCTGAGGGAGCTTCCTTCTCCCTCCTGAGGGCTGATGCCCCGGGCTCAGGGCCTGGCCTCTGAGGGAGCCTCGTTCTCCCTCCTGAGGGCTGATGCCCCGGGCTCAGGGCCCGGCCTCTGAGGGAGCCTCGTTCTCCCTCCTGAGGGCTGATGCCCCGGGCTCAGGGCCGGCCTCTGAGGGAGCTTCCTTCTCCCTCCTGAGGGCTGATGCCCCGGGCTCAGGGCCGGCCTCTGAGGGAGCCCCCTTCTCCCTCCTGAGGGCTGATGCTCCGGGCTCAGGGCCTGGCCTCTGAAGGAGCCTTGTTCTCGCTCCTGAGGGCTGATGCCTCGGGCTTGGTCCCTTTTTGTGTATTCATGGGTGGCCGGGGCACACCTGCGGTGTAGCAGGATCACACTGAGCCAACTGTCTGCCTTCTGACAGTCAGGATTCCCTGCCAGCTGTCAACTCCTCATTGTTTCCATCTCAGGCGCCCAGCCCAGCCCAGCACACAGGCCAGGGTGGGTGGGCAGAGACCTGAACACACCAACAAGCTTTCAGATGTGCAGGTGAAGGCGGACGGCCCTGACATTCACAGGCAAGGTCTGTGTCTCGTCAGGAGATTGGGGCGCGGGGGGGGGGTGGGGGCTGGGGAAGGACAGAACCCCGGCCTCGGCCTATTTCAGCTGCTTCTGGACACAAAGATCATGACAGAAGAAAATGCCCTCCCCAGACCCCACTCACCTCTCACTGACGGCAAGGTTCTGTTGCTTTAAAAAGCCCAGAAAAGTGTTGAGGACCCAACTAGTCACTTTTTTTGGCTCTGCCCTAGTTTCTTTGATCACATGTTGGAAGAACTCCAGTAGGCCAACTTCATTCTGTAAAGAAAGAGAAAAAAAAATTACATAAAACCTCCCCAAAATGGAAGATGAGCGTTGTGAAACTGCCGCCCTCTGCCTCCTCTGAGACGTCTCCTGGTACCTCCCAAACACAGGGGTGTCACCAGACAATTCTGACCGCCCTAAGTAAACAGCAAGTGTGCTGCTCCTGCCGCGGCCACCCTGCATTCACACAGCACTGTGTCAAAGGCAGGCAGAGAAGCCAAAGCCCTGAAGAGCGCCTGGGCTCTGTGGTCCACGACAGTGAAACCCACCATCCCCTGAACCTGCGGCCGCGGGTGGCCCACGTGCAGCCACAGCCTTCATCCGTGAGCAGTACGTCTGGCCTGAGTCTACTGTCCTGTCTCTTTCCAGGCCCGTCTCCTCTTGGAAGTCCTAGTAACTCCTAGAGTAAGAAGGTAAGAAAAGCAGCAGACCAAAAAGGAGCAAAAAGAATATTCTACTTCTGAAAAATCAGAAGTGGATCGTAACTGTATTCCTCTGTGTATCATCTACAGAAGTGATGGAAGTGATTTTCACATGTTCTCAAAATGAGAAAGGACAGTGCATGTGACCCACTTAGACCACAGGACTGGCTGGGCCAGCCCGGCTGACCCGAGCTCTCATAGTGCTCCAGGAAAGGGACCGCAGGTTGGCTCACCACGGACACGTGTTTGAAGAAGCCCCTCCCACTCTGGACCTCCAGTTCTGCGAGTCAAGGGCCATGCTGCCCTTTCTGTGACCAGAGCTACGTCATGCTAGGTCATGGCCGCTGCCTAGTCAGCATCAGTGGATGAATCAATGTCTCCCACTGCCTTGTATTTAAAAAAAAAACCACACGTGAATGTTCATCCTTTATCATGCCACGTTCACCTTTGAATATTGGAATTGCCACAGTTTATTTATTCGGCTGCACTAGGTCTTAGCTACGGCATGAGGGATCTCTGTTGCAGCATGTGGGATCTAGTTCCCTAACCAGTGATCGAACCCAGGCCCCCTGCACTGGGAGTTCGGAGTCTTAGCCACTGGACCACCAGGGAAGTGCCATGGAATTGCTACAGTGAGGCCTAAGATGAACCCCCAAGTTCACCTCATGAAGCCGCACGTACATTGCAGCTAACTATCCACCCCGATGGGTCTGGCAGAACAGGAAATCCGGCCAAACCTACCTCTTATTTCTCAATAAGGAAAATAAAAACATCTTCTACATACATCTGGGAGACTGAAGTTTCCACAAGCAGAGGAAACACAATTTAAGTAGCAAGTGTCCCCTACCTGCTGAAATTGAAATCAAACCACACTTCCCTTGAAATATCCTTTTTTAACTTTATATGGCAGGTAAGGCTCTCACCCTCACCCCTTTCAGAGAGCCTTCATTAATCAAAAGAACATCCTAGAAAGATGCAATACTGGGAAGAAGCAAGACACACTAACAAAAGTGCTCTCAATGTTTTGCTATTGTAGCTGCTATAATATACACATAGGCACGCAGTGGCTAAAATAGAAATTCCATAAAAAAAAACAAAAAACACACCACTACGTGCCCTTCATAACAGATGCATTCTCTGGTGACAAGCCTACTGAATAATCCCATAATCATCTCCTGAATCTCTTTTCAAGCTGATGCTATTATTCTGCTCACGCTAAACCAGGGCAAAGGCCACCCTGGCAGCCAAAGTTTGACTACAGATGAAGGCAAATCCAGACAGCATGAAGAGAAAAGTTCTCCTTAACTTATGGAAGAGTATTCAAACTTCCACAATGGCACACAGACCACTGGGGAGGGAGGAAACTGCTATCTGGCCCCAATCAGACAAGCAGGATTCCCTCTGTTCTAACTCCGACAGGCTGGCCCGCTGGTGAAAAGAGCTGTCAGGAGGAGGACTCTGCTTTGCCAAGGAAAGGTTTTTCTAAAACCACCTAGAAATACTGCACTTGAACTCACAGGCCTGGCTGAGTTGCTGGGATATGATGAATATCTATTCCTCTACCCTTGGGTGGTTTTTTTATTGGATGGATAACACGGCAAGTCAGATTTCTGTTTGTCTTCCTGCCAGTGCTGGGAGGCAGCGTCTCGGCGCTGGAGCGGGGCTTCACTGGGGATACGTGGGCTCAGTTCACGACCTGCAGGCGATGGGGAAGGCTGTGACCGTGGTGGGGCGAGCTGTGGGTGGCGGGGCTGTGGGAAGATGAGCTGCTGCCGCCACCCAGAGTGATGAATACACGCAAGTGGGCTGCCTGCTTGCGCTCTTTACAGCAGAAGCCCTCTTTTAGGGGTTAAAAAAAAAAGCCACACAGCATTCTAGGTAAGGGCTCCTTTGTTTTTCTGTGAGATCGGCAGATGCTAATAAGCTTGGCATGGATCTCAGAAGTCCCTGTGAATGCAGCCATAAAGCCATCTGGTTTTTGCAGGAAAACAGCAGACCAGTAATTCCTTGACATGAAAATCATATTAAGAGCAAAGCAGAAAGGCCAGTGCATTAGGGGCCCCTTAACGCCCTTCTCAGAGGCGACAAGCCAGCACGAATCACCTACCCTACATCAGAGGGAAACTCAGCTGCACAAGGCATCAAGCCTGCTGGCTGAGTGCAGCTGGAACTTCCTTCAGAGAAAGCCCAGGTGGCAGAGACGACTGGTCCCGGCTTTTGTGTCATGCCAGGCACTCTCTACAGCTTTGCAACTGAGAAGCATCTTTTCCACATTTTAATCAAATTTCCCAAAGCATTCCATTCTATACAGAGCTAATGCCAAGCCAGCCTCTCTGTCACAGACAGGAGCCCTCCATGGCCAGGGAATCTGTCTGCTTGCTGGTCACTGCTGGGATGTGGCAAGGCAGGGGGGTCACCTCGCCTTCTCTGCCGCTTTGGGAAGGAACCCCATCCACCCTTGCAAGGTGCCCGAAAGCCAACTTTTCCAGTCTACCTTCAGAGATGACAAGATGCCAGGAGTCTATCCTGCTGGAATAGGATGAAAGCTGATTTTGCAACTGCCCTTCCTGCCCTAAGTCACACACCCTGGGCACCTGGTGGCAGGGCAGGACTATATTTAGGAGAACGCAACCCGAGAGGCGGCTGGCTGGGGGCAGAGGCGGGGAAGGAAGAGGACACACGGCACAGGCCGGGGAACAGCTGGTTACGTGGCAGGGAGTGACTCCGAGGCCGGCCTTATCGCCTGAGTGCTGCCCCACGGCCGGCCACGCCAGGGGGCCGCCGCCACTGCTAATGGTGCTAACAGCAGTTCTGGCAGCAACAAGGACAGGTGCGTTCCCTACACTAACTCAGCCAATCCCAGCGCTGACACAAGAGGAAAACAGCAGGGCTGGGACCCTGCACTCGTCCCCCAGGTTCCGATGCTGCTACTGGAGGACAGTCACTGAAGCTGAGCACCCATTAGGGCTGGGTACCGACACACAGCAAACTGCCCATCCAGAGAACATGTTTCCCTATCATCTTCATTATTTTACTTGAAAGTCGCCAGCTGTTCAAAGGTTCTTAGCATAGTAAAAATGTCACAAAGGCCCTTGGCAAATAGCTTAGAAATCAGGAGGAGGAAATGGCAAGTTCAAGTGCTGCTGTTGCCAAGGTCGTCTAAACGCCGTGGCGCTCCCCACTGTGTCTGACACACACTGGTTCCCAGATTGGGGGGACAACACTGGCACCCCCTTCCCATTCAGGGCTTCCGGGGCTGGGAGGATGACTGGCGTGCCTCCACCCCCTCCCCAGAGGAGTTAGGGAGCACGCTCTCATGGACGCTGCCTGCTTCAGCAGCATCCCTGAAGCTACAAAACAAACCCTGTGCTCACTCACAGAGTTTTGGTGTCAAGCACCTCCTCTTTCCCTGCATTCTAACTCCTTCGCTGTGGGTGACTCACGCACACGTTTATGCCTAACGGGCAGGCAGGGCATTTCAGACTCTTGTTGACTATGATGGTTACTCCATTTCTTCTAAGGGATTCTTGCCCACAGTAGTAGATATAGTGGTCATCTGAATTAAATTTGCCCATTCCAGTCCATTTTAGTTCTCTGATTCCTAAAATGTCGATGTTCACTCTTGCCATCTCCTACTTGACCACTTCTAATTTACCTTGATTCATGGACTAACATTCCAGGTTCCTATGCAATACTGCTCTTTACAGAATCAGACTTTACTTCCATCACCAGTCACATCCACAACTGGGTGTTGTTTTTGCTTTGGCTTCGTCTCTTCATTCTTTCTGGTTATTTCTCCACTGATCTCCAGCAGCATATTGGGCATCTACAGACCTGGGGAGTTCATCTTTCAGTGTCCTCTTTTTGCCTTTTCATACTGTTCATGGAGTTCTCAAGGCAAGAAGAGTGAAGTGGTTTGCCATTCCCTTCTCCAGTGGGCCATGTTTCGCCAGAACTCCCCACCATGATCCATCTGTCTTGGGTGGCCCTGCACAGCATGGCTCATAGTTTCATTGAGTTAGACAAGGCTGTGGTCCATGTGATCCGATTGATTAGTTTTCTGTGACTGTGGTTTTCACTCTTTTGGCCCTCTGAAGGATAGGGATAAGAGGCTTATGGAAGCTTCCTGATGGGACAGACTGATTGAGGGGGAAACTGGGTCTTGTTCTTATGGGTGGGGCCATGCCCAGTAAATCTTTAATCCAATTTTCTGTTGATGGGCGAGGTTGTGTTCCCTCCCTGTTGTCTGACCTCAGACCAATCTATGATGCTATTAAAGTGCTGCACTCAATATGTTAGCAAATGTGGAAAACTCTGCAGTGGCCACAGGACTGAAAAAGGTCAGTTTTCATTCCAATCCAAAAGAAGGGCAATGTCAAATAAAGTTCAAACTACCACACAATTGCACTCATCTCACACTAGTAAAGTAATGCTCAAAATTCTCCAAGCCAGGCTTCAACAGTACATGAACCGTGAATGAACTTCCAGATGTTCAAGCTGGATTTAGAAAAGGCAGAAGAACCAGAGATCAAATTGCCAATATCCATTGGATCATCAAAAAAAGCAGAATAA